TTGGCACTGCACACAGGTTGTGTCACGGCTTTGTCATGGCTCTTCTAAAAACAAGCGCATACGTAAACAATCCAGGAAAGGATGAGATGAAAAGGGATAAAATCACAAAAGATGATAACAAGATGAGAATAAGCAAACATTTATTGGCTGCTGCAAATTATATTTAAGTCGGGAGGTAGTTATATATAAAATCACTGTCTTTCTCTGTTTATTATTTTTGTCTGTTATTTTTGTTATGAGCCTACCTCTGACATCGTAAGTTAATAACCCTGACAAGATTTATTCGCTATTGATTTCCAGAATGTGAATAGAATTTCAGGCTCTTAAACCAATTGTAAGACATGATTTAAAGTCCATCCAACCGTAAGGCCTTTGTAAAAACTGTGCAATGAGATGGTAAAGTAAATGTGATGATTTTAGTAATGATAATGCATTCGTAGTCAGATCCATCTCGCACCCAAAACAGGATGGAGACAGCCAGCACTGAGTTCCAGGTTTTGCAACAGTATTCCACACATTATTTGCTAATGCCAAGGTGGCTTAACCATGTTTTGTTGTTTTGTTTTTTTAAATCGGCCTCTGGCAACTATGGACTGCTGTTCCGCTGCCAGTCCTACACACAGAAAGCTTCAGTTTTTGATTCACAAGGACCTTTTCAGAGACACTCGGAACTAAAGTGCGAAACTGAAAAAAGGTGATCCAGCATGATTTGTAATGGGACTCGGGTGGACTGTATGCTGTCTGTATGCTGTCTGCTGAACACTCTCTGGAGCTGTGCTGTCTGTCTGTCTGCCGGCCAGCACGCCTTTCCACTTTCCACTGTGTCAAACGGTTAATTCCCAACTCACTCTTCACTGACTTTTTATAGCAGTCAGGAAATCATTCAGTAGTTTGGTTATTGGTCCTGAAAACTAAGACGACACACGAGTATTTACTGGCAAGTTGAACTTTTAGCGCTGCACCTTATCAATGCGCGTGTGTGTGGTCTCCTGAGAGTCCACCTGATGAATATAATCCCTTTACATCCGAGTGCTGTGGGATCTGGTGTGTGCATCTGTATTTATGGGCTCCATGAGCCAGTTTGAAAAAGGAGAAACATCTGCTTCTGGGATGCTTGGAGCACATGACACTGTGTGTGGGGTAAGCAGCATGACACAGAGGTGCTATGGGATTTTTACTGGAAGGGTCACTTTACTGCCTATGTTTATATGCACACATAAAAAGAAACTCCTATGAATAGTAAGGTTAAGGTGGAATGTAATTATGCACTTGCATGTTTTGTGCTATGGTTATTGTAGTAGAAAGTATGACTTATCTCTTAACACATGTTGAAAGCCAATAAAAAACAGCAGTGCAGCTTTAGCCAGTGAAATGGGTCAGTTTTTTTTTTTTTTTTCAATTTCTCATAAATTAAGAAGTCTCATGATCTAGTTGAGTAATTTGATTTTATCAAATCCCTGCAAAAACTTGATTATTATTCATACTCTGCCATTAAAAGGTCAGATGTATGTCAAGTCTAACACAAAAAGAAAATGCAATTGGAATTCTTAAAAAAATGAGGAGTAAGCCGAATGTGCCGCTTTCCCCTTTTGAGCGTGCCGTTTGGTTTGCAAATGTCTCTGTGACTTTGTTTTGAAGTTACATTAGTTCCACTCTGCAGCTCCTCCAGCCTGCACTTCATTAGCCTTCCTCTATTCCCAGAACTCCTGTAGATGTGACTCCTCTTTTCCGGGACAGAGGAATGTTTCTCCCTCAGGTCCGGCTGATGGAATGGGCTGAGGCCTGGGCAGGGGCCGGAGCCTGTTTGCTCAGGATGTGTCTCAGATGGAAGAAGAGAGGAAGGAGAGATAGTCAACCCCCGACCCCTCCGAATCCCAGAATCCTGCGGGCGAAAATCGCTGCCAGCCTTGCCGCTGTGCTTATCTTGTGCTTACATTAGAAGCCACGAGGGCTCCCGGCGAATAAAAAGGCGGGCGGAGGGACAGCCTCTGCATATGTTTGGAGATCAGATTTCAAGGCCCGAAGACATGAAAATAGGAAAGGGGTCCATAGAGAACACCACTACATCTGCTTTCACATTTTAATAGTGGTTCCACATATGCCGTATAATGCATCGGAACCATTTTGACTCGCTTGTATTCCATGGACGTCCAGCTATGCTTAAAGGCTCTGCCTCTTTGTCCCTCCAATATCCACTGCGGCTTAAAATATCAACTCTTTCAGTTCCACCCCCCCCATCCCTCCCCCCTTTCCTTCCATCATCAAGCAACTGACCTCACTCGGTAGAGTATTCAATGACCTCAGAGGGAAAAGCAACGCTCCATTCTCTTGCTTTTCTTTCATGTAGTCACACGCTGTCCAGAGTTTTGGAAGAGTTAGGCTATTTTTTTTTCTTTTAAAGAATACAGGAGGTCCAGCTGGAGAAAATGGTATTTGATTCGATAAAGTCAGACAGCGAACCCAGAGGAGACCTTTTGTTCCTTCTTAAAGAGCAACATGCAGTTTGTGCCTTCAGTTCATTCAAACTCAGACTTTGTTGCGTTTCATAAACTAGACAAGCATTTATCCAAAGCAGTAGAGAGCTTTTCACTATCAAAAAGACAATACTGAGTAACAACAAATTAAATTATATATGTTACTAGCTGCTTTCTGAGAGTCTCTGTGCACTGAATGCCATCATCACACTGAAATCTACTAAGTCTGTTAGCATTTGCTGCTTATTATCTTAATAAAAGTTAAAGCTGATGACATTTTCTTTAGGTTTTCCATAGAGTGAAGGTGTAATGTAAACTGAAACTCAGTGGATTCTTTTCAAGTTGTGCAGGTTGTGTTGCTTTCGTATGATTATAAAGCAATTCATTTTTCCAAAAAACTGCTTAACATTTTCCAGGAGAAACCAAGAACTTAGTCTTATTCTGATGCTGTGGCAGCAGGCAAGAGGCAACTTTTAACTCCAGAGATGGCACTGTGTCATGACAGATGGTTGGGGAGATTTGTCCCAGTGGCGATTATGTAATGAGGTAGGATTTTGAACGAGCTGTGCTCAGTGTGATGGTGTTCCAGCAACATAAAAGCCTTCTCTTTTTGTCCTGTTGCTGTCCCCTCGTCCAACCCGAAGTCGATCAGCACCGTTTTCTTTTTTTCTTTTTTTTTGCATATAGCAATGTAGTTTCCCATATAATTTTTGGTCTCTTTTCTCATGTCATTTGGAAATTACATGCTTACAGTGAGCAACTTTCGCAGCAAAATCCACTAATTGAATAGTTGGTCTTCAGAAATTAATGCGGTGCAAATTTTCAAATGAGACACCTCTGATAAAGATTAGTGCAGTTAAACCCAAAGGACAAATGCAAGTTATGAATTAGATTAAGGGATTTAGAAAATTACTGGGACTTTACATATTTGATGCTGTGGTTATTGCAATTTAGGAAACACCATTCATCCATCCTTTATCCATAAAGCTTATTCCTAGTAGGTTCGCAGGGAGGTAGGGGGGGCTGGAGCCTATCCCAGCTTTAATTGGGCGAGAGGCGGGGTACACCGTAGATGGGTCGCCACTCCATCACAGGGCAACACAGAGACAAACAACCACACATACTCATAATTCACTCCTGGGGGACATTTAGAGATTTAGTTAACCTAATATGCAGGTTTCTGGAAATTTAGAGAACCCTTTTACCTTTTGATTTAGTCAAGAATGCACAGACAAAAGAGTGGCAAGTTGTATGTTGTAAATATGCTGCAGAATTACTTAATGTCAGGTTTGTTTTGAAAGTGGACTGAGGCAGACAGTCTGAGATCTCTTACTGATCAGATGCAGGGACACTTGCAACAACCCCTGTTGTGCTTAGACAGGCACTCCTGCAGTGCGAAGTGACATTACAAATCATAAATCTGTTTTCAGGTGAGAGCCAGATTTTCTTAGTAAAACCGCTGCCTCCACGGTTTATGCCCACATCTGCTGTTTTTAGAAGTCTTTCAGTTTCCCTTTTTTACTCAGCGGTGGCTGCTGTTGGCTGTTTTTGCTGAATGTTGATTTCAGGCTGTCTAATGAAGGAAGTGGATTGTGTACACTGTTTGGGTGTGTCAAGTCACAGTTCAAACACATTAGGCTGTGAGTGCAGCGTACCGCGGAAGAACAGAAACCCCGGAGTGATGTGAATGATTGAGCTGATCAACACTACGTTCGGCCGCGTCTGATTTTTTTTTTGGCAGGATCTCTGGAGCTGTATTTACTCTGTCATTCTACTCCAAACTGGACTTTGTATTGTGAACAGTGTGTCGTGGCTCCTACAAACATGATGTAATTCCCATTGGTCTCTGATTGGCCCTGAAGTTGGCATAAACTGTGGTTTCCTGGAGGAGCCTCTGTACTCTGGACTTAACTTGACTGAGAGAATGGTGGATAAGATATGGAGGAAGAGTTGGCAATTTATAGAAAACAGACGGTCTTTCCGCAAAAGGCAGTCCTCTTGTAAGGATGCAGAGTATATCAGTGTGTGAGTAATCTCTTGTTTTTATTAGTAGAGGATTTATTCACACTAGCGGGAAACGTGGATGTGTTTAGTTTTCTGCGAGCATTTACGAGGCATTTGTTTCTGGGTTTTTTTTATGAATCTCGTCATAATCTATGAGGGTATTTTGATTCTTGAGCCCTGCTGGCATTTATAGCTGTACCACACAACTTGTAACAAAATGCGAAGTGGGTTGTACTCCATTTTCTAAAGCTACAGAATCACCATGTTGTGCGAAAAAAAATGTCTGCGCACATTCACACCCATTCATCGCAGTTCATTGCCAGAGTTGTTTGTACAAGAAAAAACACACACAAAAAAACAGATTGTCATACCTCATTGTGGAAAAGCTTATCACATAGGCCCCTGGAGTTAAGCTGCTTCTCACTGTGATAAATCCAGCCTTAACATGATAATGCTTCAATTAGATTTTGAGCCAACCATTCATTTCCAGGGATCTCACAAAATCTGTTATCCTTATTGCAGTGTGGAAGGGGATGGAAGGCCCGGTGAGAGTGGTGCTTCCTTGGATGGTGGTGCCAGCTATGGCCAGGGCCCGGTAACCCACGGCTCAGCCATCAGCCCCGACCGATTTGACAGCCAGCTCTACAGCCACGGGGTCCAGCCTGGGCCGCAAAGGCCCCGCCGGCCCAAGCTCCAGCATTCACAGTCCATCCTCAGAAAGCAGGCCGAGGAGGAGGCCATCAAGCGCTCCCGCTCGCTTTCCGAGAGCTATGAACTCTCTGCTGACCTCCAGGATAAGCAGGTATCCAACCAAAGCCTTGCTGGATCATTTGGGCTATTGTCTTGTTCTTGACAGATGTTAAACAACAATTTTCTAATGAAAAGAAATCTGTCATTTTTATACAGAGGCATGATCAAGTGAAATAACCAGTTATTGATCGTAAATTTCTTGGTCCTTTTACTAGGTGGAGATGCTGGAGCGTAAATATGGTGGAAGATTTATAACTCGCCATGCGGCACGCACGATTCAAACAGCCTTCCGCCAGTATCAGATGAACAAGAACTTTGAACGTCTGAGGAGTTCCATGTCAGAGAACCGAATGTCCCGGCGCATTGTGCTCTCTAACATGAGGATGCAGCTCTCATTCGAGGGCCCCGAGAAAGTCCACAGTTCATATTTTGAAGGGCGGCAGGTTTCCATGACGGAGGACGGAGCGCCGCTCTCCATGGTGCAGTCCGAGTGTGGAGACATCGAGGTCCGCCAACAGGCCAACATGACATCTCACCCGGCGCAGCCGGGGGACCTGACGGACGCCATCACGGAGCTGGAGGACGCCTTCTCCAGGCAGGTCAAGTCCCTGGCCGAGTCCATAGACGATGCACTGAACTGCCGCAGCCTTCAGGGGGATGAGGGTCCCGATCCCGAAGCCATTGGCTGCTCTGAGGTCGAGGGCCAGGTCCCCTATCAGGTGAAGTCCCATCGCAGGTCGGCTGGACGGATGCGCGATGAAACCATGGCATCTTACAGCGATGTCACTTTGTTCATCGATGAGGAGGACATGTCTCCTTCCATTGCTCTGTCGAGAGGGGACCAGCCGTCCAGCACGGAATCCGACTTACGCTTAAGGTCGGTCAACTCCTCCCAGGAGTACTGGCCCATTGACCCCAAGGATGAGGGTCGTGACACAGACACAAGCTGCCGCAGCACTCCTTCTCTAGAGTGCCAGGAGCAGCGTATCAGGATGGACCATCTCCCTCTGCTGACCATCGAGCCTCCCAGCGACAGCTCTGCGGAGCTGAGCGACCGGTCCGACCGCAGCTCCGTCAAACGGCCGCCTGCGTACGAGCCCCACGGCCACATCGTGACCTCGTCCCAGGCCAGCCCCAAGCACATCTCCCATGGGCCCCCGCCGAGGGCTCAGTCTCGAGACGACGACGCGCCCCTGCGCCACCGCCACCGCGGGCTGGAGAGCCACCTGGCCATCAACGGCTCGGCCAACAGACAGAGCAAGTCGGAGTCGGACTTCTCCGACGGGGACAACGACAGCATCAACAGCACGTCCAACTCAAACGACACCATAAACTGCAGCTCCGAGTCCTCGTCCAGAGACAGCCTACGAGAGCAGACGCTAAGTAAGCAGACCTACCACAAAGAGACTCGTAACAGCTGGGATTCGCCCATCTTCAGTAACGACGTGATTCGCAAGAGGCACTACCGCATCGGCCTCAATCTGTTCAACAAGTAAGTACCCGGTTCAGATGGGGCATGTACTCATCTGGTGCTCACAGTGAGCTCTGAGTAAATGGAGCAGGTGATGGCACTGTAAACTGTATTTGTATTTGAATGTCTAGTAAGGTCAGATTTTGACAAATCTCTGTGGGTTGGTTATATGTAAAAGCTGTCTTAGTAACGGCAGCTTAGCCTTAGTCTTTCAAGAGAAACTTAATTAAAAGACCAGGACGTGTTACGGATTACAGAGTTGTAGGGCTCGGGTAATGTTCAGCTACATGCAAATGCAGAAAGTGGTCTCATTGAGCAGGAGGAGTAATGCCTCATTTTGATCTGATAAATGATGTTTTGCTTTTTATTACTAAATCATGTTCTGACATGCCTCGAGGCGTCATCGATATGAGTTCTCTGAGAAGCCATGATCAAGCAATAACATATAATTCCCTTCAGGTTTTGAAGTCTGCCTGGATTGAGACTGTGTTGAATTTTGCAGAAAGCCAGAGAAGGGCATCCAGTACCTGACAGAGAGGGGGTTCATCCCTGATACGCCAGTGGGTGTGGCCCACTTCCTGCTTCAAAGGAAGGGGCTCAGCAGGCAGATGATCGGAGAATTTCTTGGCAATCGACAAAAACAGTTTAACCGAGATGTATTGGAGTAAGTAGGATTCTTTCTGTCGTTCCTAAACTTTAGTGGAAATAGTTTTTAGAGGGTAGTTTAAATCAAAATGATTACTCATGATTGAAATTTTCTTAGCACGCAGACTTCCTATGCTTCTATCTGATCATCTCTCCATCTTCTTGTGTACCAGCTGTGTTGTCGATGAAATGGACTTCCAGAGCATGGAGCTGGACGAGGCCCTCAGGAAGTTTCAGAACCACATACGTGTCCAGGGTGAAGCTCAGAAGGTGGAGAGGCTCATTGAAGCATTCAGGTTTGGCTGCACACTGGCATATAAAACCTAAGTTTATCAGACAGAAGCGCAGTAAAGTTTACTAGGAAAACACCTCCCCTATTCCTCCTACTCCTTTTTGATCCATTCATTATATAAGATGAATTATATCTGTCCTTGTTTAGTAACCCAGAACTTATTTGCTACTGTTATTGAACCAGTGACCAACATGTACTTTGAGAAAAGCAAGACAAATACCACAAAATAAGGAGTTGCTCATTCGTGAAATATATTCATCCTTCAGCACAGCTGTGATGTCCAGTTGAGACATGAAGAGAACCTGTTATGGCTCAACTTCTGCTTTTGTGTGGAAAGCATTTCCTCACAGAAGATGTTTTTACGCGTGTGCTTTGTATTTTAAATGTGGTCTTCGGTTGACGTTGTTCTTGTGTTTCCAGCCAGCGCTACTGCATCTGTAACCCCACAGTGGTGCGGCAGTTTAGGAACCCCGACACCATCTTCATCCTAGCCTTTGCCATCATCCTCCTCAACACTGACATGTACAGTCCCAATGTCAAGCCCGAGAGGAAGATGAAGCTGGAGGACTTCATCAAGAATTTGCGAGGTAGCAAAACCAGCAACTAATATAGTAATAATAATAATACAGTTTTGGGATTGTGTCTTTTCACAAATGTCAGCGGATTTCAGTTAATTGTAATTTTTTGTTGTTTTGTCATGCTTTTTCAATTAGAAGTTGCAAAAGTGTTCTTTTTTTAACCCACTATCCCCTAATAAAAAAGTGCTCTATCGCTTTTCACACATTGAGCAAAAGAATCGTCATTTTAAATGGTCTGATGTGGGAAAAAAAGACCTCTGTCCCGTCTTTTGGTTTTGGAAATCTATCCACTGAAGTCAAACTTTGGACGATCATCAACCCTCTCAGACAGCGTTTTTCCAGTAGGCTTTTTTTGGAATACAGATGTCCTGTCAGATGTTGGAAAGCCTGAGTCAATGGCACAAAATCCAGCAAGAAAAGTTCTGATAACATCTTTGGCTGCCTGGGAAACAGGAGGTTGGACCTATTAGAAAGAACGTCTGAGAGTGTTTAACACTAAAGACCCTCTACTGGAGTACAATCACAGAAATGAGGTCATATCCAACAAATAGTCACTCTTAGTCACTAAGCTCACTGTTATTCTCATTTAAAGATACCCTGCTAACTTCCTGAGTTTGTGAATGTTCAGTTTCTGCCTAGGTTGTAATATGTGTATTGTAATATAAGAGACTAATGGGGGTGATATTTGTGTGTGGCTGTGCTCCTTTAATGGAAGGAGCTAATGAATGCAGGTTTTAACCTTCCAACCACAGCTTTAATTATACAATAAAAATAACTTTCTCAAAGTCAACTTGTTGGATAAATCGTCTCTACTCTCGGTTTCAGGTGTTGATGACGGGGAAGACATACCTCGAGAGACCCTGGTTGGCATCTATGAGAGGATTCGCAAGCGAGAGCTTAAAACCAACGAAGACCACGTCTCTCAGGTGCAAAAGGTTGAGAAGCTCATTGTGGGAAAGAAACCAGTAAGTAATATAATTTATCACTATGCTAGGGTCACAAAAATGCTGAACAGCTAAATTTGCATTGTTGTTACATGTAAGGCAGCAGTTGCTCTAGCATTTGGCCTTCAAAATGCTAAGTAATGTAGCTCCTCTATTTGACTATGTTTTTAATTCTGGTCCCAAAATTGAAGTAACCATTAGAGGCTGTGAAGATATCATCTGTGCATTTCAGGGTTATTTGGACCCTGAGGGCCTGGTGAGGTTTAGACCTTCACGCTGATGATTTTAACACACCCAAAGCCCTTGCGAGATGTCATCCACTGCTGCAGTCGGATGAAAAATGGGCACATGCCGCCATCTTAGCCCAGTAGAGTGGCTCCATGGCAGAGGAAATATCCACGCTGTCACACAGCAAAGCCACCTCTGTGCTGCTGGCCGGCATGAGCTGCAGTGCTTTGATGTTGCAGTTGTGTGAATTCTGTGTTTTTGGGGCAAACCAATCCCGGATTTTGTTCTGACAAAGCGGCGTCCTCTCAGCAGTGAAAGTGGCTGCGGCTCTTCATTATTTGCAAGTCAGCACTGGCTCTATCATGTGCAAAGGATAAAAACGTTATTAACTTTCATGGCCATTTGGAGAGGTTTGTCTTGCAAGAAGAACTTTGAAGTCTGTTTTCAGTCGAATGGATTCTCCTCTGGTCTGCCACTTGGAATTTATTGTATTGAAAAATTGTCCCTTGACACCATTTAGCTGTGTAATTGGGGAAAGATGCTTGGTGAAACATTGAAAAATCATCAGATTTCTTTTTCACATTTCTCAGTCCAGGATTGCTGCACCAGGGGGGTCACTGTTTCTCTCATTTCGTCATTATGACATATTTCTCCAAAACTGGTTGTAAAATATTTAATGAGTAAAAAGAATTGAGAATAGGTTGACATGCTATGAAGGTGTGCTGCTTTGCACATGAACTCAGCTAAGTGAAAGAAGGATTCAAAGTTTTATGAGAGCTGTGCTGGTCAATAATCTGAACATAACAGCTGCACATGACCGCTCCTTTGTCATTTATTTGCAGATTGGATCACTCCACCACGGCCTGGGATGTGTAAGTAGTGTAGTTCATCGTTATTTCACTGTATGGCCACAGCTCTCTGTTTCTATAACACGTCACACATGCTTTATTATAGAGCTTCTGTTCCTTATTACCCTGTGGACTAAGGCCATAATTAACTCTAAAGTGTTGGTGTTTTTTTTTTTTCTCCTTGTAGGTGTTGTCGCTTCCTCATCGCCGGTTGGTGTGTTACTGTCGCCTGTTTGAAGTGCCAGATCCCAACAAGCTCCAGAAGCTGGGCCTGCATCAGCGGGAGATCTTCCTGTTCAATGACCTCCTTGTGGTAGAAGCGCTCTCCTCTCTCTCCCTCTCTTAAATCCCCCTCTGCTCTCCAGACCTGCACTCACAGTCGCCTCTTTGTGTGATTTACAGGTAACCAAGATTTTCCAGAAGAAAAAGAATTCCGTCACGTACAGCTTCAGACAGTCCTTCTCTCTGTATGGGATGCAAGTCATGCTGTTTGAAAATCAGTGTAAGTGGAACTGGATGTGTCCTTACTCCTGCAGCATGTTATCTGTCGCTGGTTACATCACAACCAGCAGCAGTAGGGAGCTCAGGCCCATGTGCTGACACATTTCTCATGCTCTAGAAACGTCAGAATGACGACTAGAATGTTGTTGTACTTCAGTTTATATCCATTGCTCATACGTGGATGTCTCTTATTTTCTTTTTTCAATTTCCCCAGATTACCCAAACGGAATCAGACTCACATCAGCGATACCAGGTGCCGACATCAAAGTGCTCATCAACTTTAATGCGCCCAACCCCCAGGATCGCAAGAAGTTTACAGATGACTTACGAGAGTCCATTGCAGAAGTGCAGGAAATGGAGAAATACAGAATAGAGTGTGAGTTTTTTTTCCCCCTCTGTAAAGCCAATACGGGCAGGGTGTAGTATTCTGGACATTCAGAGACTTTACCTGTAAGAGCAGAATAATGTATGTCAGTACTGATGTTTGGGAAAGTAAAAAGTTCTAAAATGATTTCCATGACTGAGTGGGATGCAAAGCCCCTGCCACTTATCACAGGTCTTTACACTGATTTCCACAGCTGAGCTGGAGAAGCAGAAGGGGATGGTGAGGCCCAGCATGTCGCAGAGTTCCGGTCTGAAGAAAGAAGGCGGAAACGGGAGCATGAACCGGGCCAGTCTGGACGACAGCTACGCCATGGGGGAGGGCCTGAAGAGGAGCGCCCTCAGCAGCTCCCTGAGAGACCTCTCTGAAGCAGGTACAGCTGAAACATGCCATGCTTTTACCAGCTGCTCCTGTAAAGGAAAAGCACTCCTTCTATCATCCAGGTCTCTGTGATGATATCAAGGGGATAAAAATAGCAAAATGTTGCTTCACAGCACCATACATTGATTTTAGGTTCCTCCTCGTTAATTCCATGAATTCCCTCATGATTGGATGGTTTGGCGGGGAAGATGTCTCCTTCAGTGTTGAACTGTTTTGTACTCGGCACAGTTTGCTTTGAACAGATTAGAACATGCTTCAGCGCTCCACAGTTTAAAGACTGAACTCAGAGTTTTATTGAGGAAGGTTTTTCTTCTCTGTAATGAATGGAACTGATGGGCAGTTCTCATCCCGGTTCATTTGGATTTACGTTTCTTTCTAACATTTCCATTGATATTTTTCAAATCACTCTTTTTGTTACCTGGTGCATCCTGCATTTATTTTCTACCCCAACACATTTAATGAAGAATGCACTCTGTTAGAAACCATGTATCATTTCCCCTCACACTTATGCAGAAGCTGTTGTGGACATCCTAGAGCAGCAACGAGATCAAGCTTTAGTCCAAGCCTTGCCCTTAACAGCCCTTCCATATTCATGTATATCAGTGTGTAATCCAGCCTCTGTGCCTTTGGAGCGGGAACACATTTCATTCATTGTAGATAACAGCCATGTGACGCTATCAGGTGATTCGCTCGATAACATGATGAAATCCAGTTTGGGGTCTGCCTCACAGATGATACTTTTTGCTCCTCTGATCACTACCTGGATGGGAAACGATCAGATAGATGAAGTCTGTAGACGTCCCTCTGCCCTCCTGTCTCCTGTGTTTTTCAGTGCAGGATGTGGCATGTTAGTGGGGTCATTTTTGTTAACCGTTTTCTTTCTTCCTCTCCTGCCATCTTCCATCTCATGTGTATTTTTAGTGTCCATATGCATCAGTTATTTTCCTGTTAATGTTGTAATTATTGGTCATATATCACTGGCTGAGTGTGCCTAAAAATGGCAGAGATGCTCTTTCCTCCCTGAGACCTATATATGCCCACGCATTCCATGTGCAGCAGCAGTCACTGTATTGATTTGGATTAGTCTCCTCCTTTGTGACTGTCTGGCTTTTTGCCAACCCTGGCCAGTAACTAGATATTGTGGCTGCATTAAGAATCACTTGACATATTAAACAAAGGCAGAAATCGGTGAAAATTTAGCTCCGACATCAATCTTGAGAGGATTTTTATGTTGATCTTCTTTTGGAATTGGCGGCAGCACATTTGCTCGGTCTATGATGCTCTTTCAATCAATATTTCTTGGCATTCACGATAATGTTTTTAGCGTTTAAAAAAAAGAAGATTCCTTCCACCTCCGGTTAGAAGTGCGCTTTAAAACTTGAATGCAGCTTAGCATTTTCTTCTAAGTGAAGTTATGACTCCACAGTGAGAAAAACCACAATGCCACCTGTCAAGCACATTCTCACCCCTACCCCCCCCCCCCCATATATTCGGACCTTACTCACAGTCACAATCCACTGCACTGCCCCCTATGGGACTGGTGGCCAGCCTAAACCTCTGTAGTCGATCCAGAAGTGCTGTCGATCTCTAATCTCTGGTATTGCATGTCTCGGGCAGGCAAGCGGGGGCGTCGCAGCAGTGCAGGATCACTAGACAGCAATATGGAAGTAAGTTGGAAGCAGCTGGTATCCAAGCTACTCTCTATGTGATGATGTGCACTGTGAAACACTCCTTTTATTTTTGGTCTTACACCTTCTTTGCTTCATAGACTCAGTCCATTTGTTTGGATCATTTATGTTTCCTCCTGGGATGCCTTATAACCTGCTTGCCTCAGTTAGTGTGCATGCATGGGTTGCCTGCCTCTGATCCTGCCCCCTTTTTTTGGAAGCCAGAGATTTCCTGTTTTTGGTCATGTTATATGACCAATATACACTTCCCTCTCAAACAAGCATGACTCCCACTAATGTCTTCTCTGATTCCTCCCCCCGTCGCCTGTCTCTGTCTTTCATTCGATCTCATCCAAGCAGTTTTCATTTGGTTCTTCTCTTTGGCAGGGTGGTAGCTCTGAAAGACAGTAGGAAGCCCTTCATTTCCTGCAGCAGCCCCTCTCCCTGTCTGGGTCTTTTTTTGTTATGTTTTTTTTTTGTTGTGTTTTTTCTTGTCCACAACTTCTCTTAAATTCTGCGAGGTTCTCCGAAGAGTATAGCCTTCATACTTAGGGATGGGCTTCATTCATTTTAGGAATATATGGATTTCATTCATGCATTTTACACTAATTTCAAGCATCTGTGAGTTCATGTGTTGAGTTGCAGTCTGGAACGTGGGACGGGAAATATCATTCTGTTTTCGGACGCATCCAATAGGCTTTCTCCAGTCAGATGAAGCATGCCAAATAAGAGACTTTGTTTTTTTTTAGAGGTATTTGCACCTGTTGAGTAGTGTCGGATCCAAAACAGGAAGAAGAGCGACCAAGCCTGTAGTGAAGTGCTCAGTTCCTCCTGCCCTCTGACTTCTAGTTGAATGCTAATGTGTGAATGATGACTTTGCCTGTAACACCCTCTGCATGTGGAAACTGTGCCTCCATCAATACTGCCAAGTTGCATGGGTGACTCTCAAGAGGGTTCGGCACAATAGAAATTTAAAATATATATATTTTCCCCTTGTTAATAATATTAATATTTTTTTCTCAAAGTTTCTCGTGTTTTACATTTTTTCTTGTTACAGATTTACAGTCTTAAAATGGTTATCTCCCTAACAGCAGAGCTTCTTCAAATACAGGCTCTTTTTGTCATCAAGTGTTCACCCCAGCTGAAATATTTTTGCTGCTGCCTATCATGAAACATGTTTAGTTTCCCATTTGCATGCCCTATAACATTTTGCTACTTCTTTATCTGAAATAAAATGAGAGATTCATGCTGCTGCTGCTGCCTCTTGGGCGTGGTTTAGCAGGTGTCTGACAGAAATGCTGTTACCTCTTCTCCGTCCTGCAGGGGTCCATCATTAGCAGCCCGCACACGCGCCGGAGAGCCACCACACCGCGGGAGGGCGCCAGCCGTGGCCACCCCTCCATCCCTAACTCCGCATCGACATCTATTCTCGGGTCATTCTTTGGCAGCAAGCGTGGGAAGCCGCCGTCTCAGAGCCACTCCCCTTTCCCGCCTCCGGGCCACCCCACCCTGATATCGCACAAGCCCCACCCGACCAACCTGCACCACACGGCGCAGGCGGTGCACGCAGTGCAGCACCACAGCCACCACTCGCAGTACTGCCAGGTCCCGCAGAACCCCCCGCCCTACCACCACCACCACCACTACCACCCGCCCCCCCACACGCAGTATCACCAGCACCCGGCCTACGCCGCGCACGGACACCAACACGCCCACTCGCAGCACAGCCACTACGGCCAGCATCCCCACCACGCCTCGCACTCCCAACACGCGCCCCACCACCACAGTCAGCAGGCGGGTTCGGCGCCCGGCGGGCCCAAACCCAAACACAGTGGCATCAGCACCGTAGTGTGATGCTCCTACCGCGGAGAGAAGCGAGGAGGGGGACTCAAAATGAAGGAGGGACAATCGCTTACACCAAAGGGACTGACAGCATAACTCTATGGCCTGTCCACTGTGTTCCAGCTGCTGTGATGGAAACTAATCACACGCAGACACCTTTTTTCACTTCCAGGTCCAACTAATATGCAGGATGGAAATTGGACTCAAATCTTCCACTAGGGGCCTTTACTAGTTTGCCTAATTAGGGGCCCATCAGGGTTTTGTTTGTCGGTGTGGGGGAGGGGAGGGGGGGTTCTGCACAGGAAGATGCTCTTTGTTTTTCACACACACACCACCCGGCTGTGTCGGCTGAAGAGGGAACATGCGGCGTCCACGAGCCGCGACCTGCCTCCTTATCCCCCTCAATAACCTGTCTTACCTTCGCATTACCAGGATGCCCTGAGACGAGAACATGGCTGATTGTTTTCAAGACTTCTCGTGCGTAGCCTCTCGGAAGTCAACTTTCAAGTCTATGGTTTGCAGATCCTGCCATCATATGAATGCTATTTGTTGTTGTCTCTTGTAGAGCTCATATATAGTGAAAAATCTAGATATAACCATTTCACAATAACTTAAGTCCAAGGACAGGTAACCAACTCAACAGAGTCAGTCATAGTAGTTCTAGTGCTGTATTTACTGTAGATGACAGCTATATGTGTTGTCTCCTAGCTCTCATAAATGAATGTGCCAATTATTAATGCATAATCTATTTAGTCAAAACTTCATGTACAGTATATTGTGTGTAAAGTAATTTGTAAGATAATGCTTACAATTATCAGCAAAAATGACTTTTATCAGTATTATACTGACTGTGTGGTAAAGGGATGTAGATCTGAAAGGAGTGAACCCCCATTCAGTCCGGCCTATAATCTCCTCTGGAGCTTTTGCCTTTCCAGCGGATCAGAAAGAGCCTCTGGATAGCAGCTGTTGCATAAGGGCCTTGAAACGCTGTTTGGTCACAGCTGAAGCCTCAAAGCATACTTGTCCTGTCAACTTTTCCGGCTGATAAACTGAGCCATTCGCACATTTCACATACTGTGGCGGCTCATACCATAAAAAGTAAGGAAGAGTAAGAGTGAAAAGTCATTTTCAACACTTCTAGCCTTGTTTCCTGTTACAAATGGCCCCAGACAAACAGTTTTTAACGACAAGTTTCCTCTAACAAATGCAGCAGCTGCTTTCATGGCTCTTGAAATTACAAAAAAAAGAAAAGAAAAAGTCCTCTTTTGCCATGTTTAGATTGTTTTTCATTCACCAACCAGATTTGGTGAACGGATTAAATTAGTTCCCAAACAGTGAGGGTATTTTTGTTCTTTTTTTCTATTATATGTGCAATATCTTTGTACTGATTTTGTACATCAAGAACAAGAAAAGTCTCCCTCTTACTTGTGCATTTTCCATGTTGCGTCATTATTTATTTTTGGTTTTCGACCCCTGTCAGTCTATCTTGGTAAGTTAATGTCTTGCTGTCCTCGTGCGTCTTATGAGAGGTACAGACTTGGAGTTCAGTGGAATGTCCAGTGAGTGAGTTATTTGCATGTTATGTTATTGAAGCGAGGCTATCCTCTGCACATTGTATAACAGATCAGTGTTACCATTGCAAGTTTAAGTGCAATCGTGTTCAGAAAATGCAGACTTGTGCTTAAGAGTGGAAGTCTGTTGTCCAGGATGAGATTCAGGTGAGAAGAAATACTTTTTTTCTTTTTCTTTTTTTAATCTTCATTTGATAATATATTGATACTTAAAACAGTTCACAGCAGAATGAAGAATGTGTGTATATATTTTAATAAAAAGGAAAATGCCTCTCCTAGGGCTGAACAGAAATATTTTGCTGGATAAGCACATATGAAAGAACACTTTCATTTTTTTTCAGGAAATTGCAGTTATAACGTACAAAATGCAAGCTGAACAACAACTCGTTACATGTAAAGAATATCTTTCTACATTCTACAGATAAGAGTCTATTCTAGTGTGTAAATTAGTGACAGTAAACTGTTTGTCCGAATATTCAGGTTGTAAATGTATTTTAACATTCATGAAGAAAACCACAGCCGGAAGTAAGGCATACACCTTTTCCCTCAGATTAAACACATATCACTATTTAACTATGTCTATCCATTGAGTTCATTTTTTTCCGAGAACTTTGAAATCTCGGGATCCTGTGAAACCGATGGACCTGTTTATTTTGGCGTGTGTCGTAGTGATTTAAATATCTCCGGTCATTCTTTGCGAGAGAGTACCCCAACAATGCACTGCATGGATCTGATGCATCACGTGTCCTATTCACTGTGAGCTGATGGGGAGGAAATCAGCCTATAAATCTTGGTAGTTCTCCTTTGGTTTTGATTCATTTGGATCTTTCTGATGTTGACGTGTTCTTGTTGTTCCATGTTTGCCTGGTAGTTACTGAAGCTCAGCATGCATTTCATCAACAAAGCCATCGTGTAAATTACTAGCATAAAGAACATTGCACTTCATTGCAGAGGGCTTTCACCGTGTAAATAGGGGGTTTGGATGTGCAAGCTAATGAGCTGCTTGGGAAGAGAGTTTATCATTGTGAAGACTGTAAAGGGACCAAGAGTGAGTTTAAAGGAGATGTACATAGTGTGTATATGACCCGTGCTCTATTCTGATATCTGCAGTAAAGATCAAGATGTACATACATCACCTCATGGATGAATGGATGGGAGGGGTGCTAAGTGAACATATCGATTGTCTCTGCTTCCAGCTGTTATGAACTGACGTTTGCTGTGGAAATCACAAACAGACTGTTAGAAAGCGTGCTGCCATTGACATCCGGCGCTCTCGTCTTAAACACTCACACACGTAACGTACACACAGACAAATGTTCACTCATCCTGCTGTGAGTTTATCAGTCTGGTGTAAGACACTTTATGGAAAAATAAGGAAAAGACAGAAATGGCCTCATTTATATGTGCATTCTGTTTGTACAGTGAGTAGTGAGTCAGTAAGACCCCAGTTATTGTAAAACTTCAACTGTGACAATGTTGAGAACGCAAAATAAACAAATATATGACTTATGGTACGCAAGTGTGTCTTCTTTACCTCATCAAACTTAAGTATGGGGAGTTTCAACCCCCTCTGCTGTACAAAACACATTCAGCTCTTAGACGTTGGCGGGTTGCCTCCGTTGTTTGCGCATTAAGTCATCGGAAAAAGCATCAGTTTTAGTCTACTTTAAACATTCTTTGATGGAACGATTTGAGGGTTTGACATATTAAAGATGACCAAAACTCTTTGGAGATTCAATTTATAAACAAATCTCTGCACATTTTCCTTTTGGACTTAGCAGATACAACATGGTGTTTTTCATTAATGCTGTTAGGCCATTCAGGCCTTAGTGAAGCAAAACACATCCAGACCTGATCCAGCTGCCACTGCATTTCATAGAGAGGATTGTTTGCCTATGTTAGAACAAAGTTTTTTCATTTCTCTAAATGAATAAAGCTTCACATTTAAATGAGAAATGTCTGTTTTCTGCCTATAGCTTGGTGCCTCAGCAAACTACAGATTGGCAACAGTGCTTATTTTTCTAAAGACAGCAGTGTAGCATGTACCATTTTTCAAGTGATATCCAAATGTGATATCCCTTAAAAGTAGCTTCTCCAAACTGGTGAGCTTTGTAAACTAAATGTATTAGGGCTAATACTGTCTCACAACTTGGTGTGAAACTTAGATCTCTGTTCTTTTAATGAATTCCCACTCATGCCACTGACGAGTGACTTGAATCCACGAGCCTGGATTACATTTCTAACTGAATAAAGGACCAATTATAGCATCTTTCTCTCCTTTGTTCGTTTGCAAAGCTAAAATCTTTGCTGGAATCTAGTGTTTGAGGTCAAATAAATACCCAACCGCAGAAAATTCCCAAGAAAAATGTCCAATATCAGTGCATATTCCAGTCTCAGACAACAGCATCATTTAATATTCCTGCAACATTTCCACTAGAGGGCATGCATTAAAGCAGCATTACAAGAAATAGACCGTTTGTGTCATTACACCACCTATGGGCGAGAAGTGTACTGACTCCACAGTCCCTCTGAAGAGCATGATATAATACACACCTACTTCTTGTTTTCAGATAGTTCTTGTTGCTCAATATTTCCACAAAGACATTCTTGGTCGTACCTTTTGTAGCATAACGATGTAATAATGATGTGTAAGTATTATCCAAATGTGGCCACACACGCCTCTGGCTGTAATTCACAGTTAAGTGCCTCCCTCGGTGCTGCATTGGAGAACTTCTGCCTCTATTTTCACAGATAAACTCTTATCTGTTCTCGGCAGATGGAATTTCCACTGTCATGTGAGCAGTAGTTGTGTGTTTTTTATTGGTGCATTCTTCACACTGACGCTGCCCCGGACAGCCCGGTGCCCACTAATGATCCGCTGCAAAAAGAAAGAAAGGAAAATGCCAAGAGAAGTTCTGAAATATCTTTAAGAACTCAATTCCTTCATTGGACGAGAAAAGTGAGATTTGAAGGATGACTGCCAATACAAGAGGTCATTTGGAGGCTGGCTTAATTCTGAAAGGTTTGTTTTTCTTTCCTGAAATTTTAGCCATAATTTGACCATATTTTTAATTATTTATTTCATTTACATTATAGTGACACGGTAAACATTTAAATGAATCCAACTCATGCCTTTTCCACTTGGAAAATGATTAAAAGCAGATTTCTTCATCTTGCTGCCTAATCTTATTCCCCTAATGCTCAGCTTGACTTCAGAACACTCTTCTTGTGGTCAGTTCTGTGAGAGGTTTTCCCAGCAGTCTCACAGTTTTTCCTTTCTTAATGTAATGTCTTAATGTATTCTTGAATTTGGTTTAATCTCCTTCTCGTTTCATAGGATGTTGCTGTCCAGTCTGAGCTTAGCTGTCTTCCTCATCCTGACCTTATCCAGTGCACACAGTTCTTCTCAGTCCTGTGTTTGCTCGCTTCTGCCTCCCGGGCTTCAGGTCAACTGCAGTTCTCTAGAGCTCATGGAGCTGCCGCCTCTCTCCTTAGAGACCACGGAGCTCCTTTTGCAGGGCAACCGGCTCACCTCGGTGTCTCCGGGCCTGTTCGACAGACTCGCTCGGCTGAAAAAGGTCTCGCTATCTGGAAATCCCTTCCACTGCGACTGCAGGATCCAGTATCTGAGGAGCTGGTTGCTGAAGAACAGAGCTGTGGTTTTAGAGGAGCCCGTTTGCTCCAGTCCGAGCCATGTGGCTCAGAAAGCCATTGCCGAGCTGACAGAGGACCACTTCTCCTCCTGCACTGTAGCGAGCTGTGATTATGGGATGTACAACGCCACTTTGGGGCTGGCGCTCTGCTGCCTCGTTCTGCTGCTTCTGTGGAACTTGACGCTGGCCAGAAAGTCCACTTTCATTCTGTCCATTGACGAGAGACATTCGGGGTTCGAGGCGGACTCTCTGCGCTCGCTGAAGCCCAAACACAGGAGGAGGCTGTGCACTGGACTGCCAGGGGTCAGCGCGCGCTCAGACTCTGTCATTTGGTCAGAGGACTTTGAGAGGCCGCTTATCAACATGGAGTTACTCCCACAAGTACTCGACGTGTTACACAAGAAGCACAACATAAAGATAAAAGCTACCTGATGGACGTCTCACTGTGGAAGTACAAACATTACCAGCGGCAACTCGAGCTAGGGGAAGTAAGGCCGTAACACAAGGGGTCACTCTCTTTTATTTTTCCTTTGAGAAGCTCCATTAATGTTAACCACAACACAAATAATTTTTAACGGAACTTTATGGACCCATTTCGAAATAGAAATATTTTTTATGACCTTATCATAGTATTGTCATTTGCTGTTTACTCTTAGCAATTCACATGTTTCTTATCTTGAGAGCATTGAAAAGTACTTTCAATTCTAAATGTGATGCAACTGATTGAGATCACTTTTAAAATGGTACAGAGTCTAATCATTCTCAGTACGATTAACAACTAGACCAGGAAATATTTATGCAAGGTGGTTGTTTCCCATAATGCATTCTGTTAAACGTGTGTAAAGCTATGTGGACTCTTTAGTACGTATAATTCTCTGACTAATTTTGCCCAAAAAAAAGCATTCAAGCTGATTCTACATGCTTTGTTAAAATTCAATCTAAACTCTCCCAAATGTTTAACAGTGCAGCCTTGAGAGGTTTGGCTGTCGTTTCCTCCCCAGAATGTAAGATCACCAGCAGATTTTGGAAGGTTATGCTTATGATCAAGCCACCTGGACCTCACCCAGCACTTTGCTTTTGCTCCAGCGGTAACTACAAAGTATGACTTTGAAATACTCAGAAAGATAAAATTAGGTAGGATGAATTGAAGCATGTAGCAAAGGTATGTTTTCAGAATGAACTCATGATGCTACCTACAGCTCATCACTGACTTTATTTTCTGAAGGAAAAGATACTTGATTAAATGCTCCAATCATCATGTGTAGAGGGGCTATGGGCTAGTTTGGTCGTATGAATAACAAATGGCACAAATCCGTACTTCAGATATAACTATTGTGAATTCCTTAGCTAGCCTCTGAAGGTAAACAGGAGAAGTCTGCTGTGGTCATAACAACTTACTATGTTCTCGTATGTCAGGGATTTTTATGATCTTTGTCCTTATTGCTACATATTCAAAGAAGTTGATTCAGAAACAGAAATCTCATTCATTGCTGGTACTAACACTCCTCTATTCTGTGTTAATGCACACAGATTTTCCTCTGTTCTTGTTTTCTTAGTTGCTGAATATCGTCATTGTGCTCTTTTTTAAAAGATGCTGAACAGAATCATTTGGGCACTCCAATAGAAGAATTTTGAGTATGAAATCATTTCAAACCATGAAGCACTACCAGAATCTGGATGTGAACACCCAGAATTCAAGTTCAGGTTTATGTTTGAAGTAAAAATTCTATGGAAAGTTTATGTTTTGGTGGATGGCTGAATATTGCATCAGGGTAATAATTCTAGATCTAACAACATGTTTCAAAATAAATAAATAATTAAAAAAAAGACATGTATATTAAGCCTACAGAGTGTCTCTATTTGGAGTGATTAACACTTTTCGAGGACAGTTTCTTAGTGGGGAAAAAAGAAGACACAAATATCTCACCAAACTTAAGTTTCCTTATATTTTTTGAAGATACGGTATGTACAATGAGTGAATTACTAGTAACAGGAGGGTGGAAGCTTTGGATGCATTTGAATGACAGTCATGTTAGCTTTTGCTCCTGGACTGAAAAAAAAACACATAAAAACTATTGTTTTAGATTCTAATCAACAGGAGCAAACGGACACATTTAACAAAGATGAAAGTCCTTGTTCTGTGCAAATACTGGTCATGGTTCTGACAACAAGACAAACTGCAGACAGACAGTACATTTGGAGGACAATATTGCACATCAAACGGTTTCTTTTACAGTACAGGTATTATTCTCTTATCATGCATAGATTGTCCAGGATGAATGGGTTAAAAAAAAAGAGACAAGTTAAAAAATCCAATAATACAAATCAAAGGTTAATCAATAATGCTCGTTAAAAACGGACAAATTCTCGTAATAAATATAGGACGGTTTCAGGATTTTTAACAAACTAGAACATTTCTATAATCTAAAAAGAGAACAAACAAAAAAACTCGGGCTCGAATAAGGCAGTTTGTACACATTTCCTTAGTGAGGAGCGGGTCTTTAAAGACAAGCACAAAACAATGTCAAATAGCAGGTGATGGGAACACTAACATGAAGCGTTTTTTTTCTCTAAAATCTGTTCTGATTTAGAATGTTTTGAAGATAGCTTACATCCTGCCACGCGCCCACAGTGCTGCGCTCCTACAGATCTCTGCATTAAGTGGCGTCATTCCCAGATCGATGCTGTGCGCCGCACACGCCCAGTCTCCGCTTCACTGAGGAGCCAACTTCTCCTGCTCAAAGATGAGCTCCACTGCCTCTCCCACGTCCTGCACGATGTGGCCCGGCGCCACCAGCGCGGGGTCGAAGCGGAAGTCCCGGTGGCCGTGGAACACGGTCTCTTTGATGCAGCGCTTGGCGTCGGACGGCACCTCTGCGTTGGGGTTGTAGACCCCGGTGCAGACTAAGATGGACTTACAAGACGTGGCGGAGGGCAGCGCCAGCTCGCTCTCCCACAGGCTGTCCATCTCCTCCTCCCCGGGCAGCGTGGCCGCGGACCCGGTGGCGGCCGCCACCTTGGCGACAGCTTTGGGGTTCTTGCGAGCAATTCTCTCCTCCAAGTAGCGATTGTACAGGTTGGCGCCGTAGATGTCGGTCATGAGGTTATCCCTGAGACAGCAGAGACGAGAGCATTGTTCGGTTCACATTTGAGACACATTAACTTTTTTTTGGCTACTCAAGAGAGAAACTAAACGAGACGGGAACAACGGCAATGATTGCACTAAAAAAAACGGAAAGGTGAAGTGAAACATTCCAGTTCTGACAGTAAAGCCGTCGTTTTTCTCACTGTGGGCTTCTGGTTTCTAAACAAATGCCTTTTGGCTGATGCGTTGTGTGACGGTCATCTGAATTTCACATTACGCTCCCTCATCCTTCCACATGCTCCTTTTGAGCACTTACACAGCCCGTATGCGGTTTGGAGGGGCTAACACAGAAAGACTTTGGGGTCTTACCCTATCGCATAAAGGGAAGTGATGGGATGTTTCCATTGCCTCTGCATGGCCTGGCTTCTGATGAGGTATTCAGCAAAATGGTACGTCAGCTCACTGGGTTTCCCCATGAGAGCCTCATACTTTAGGTCTCTGCCAGTTATCTTCTTATAGATGTTCTCCAGGCACACCAGAAATGTCCCGTGGCCAAACCTGAGACAAACAGGAAAAAAGTCAACTCGCCGTTCTGGATCGCAAAGCTCTCAGGCGAAAGAGAGATTTGGAATGGTTACCGTGGAGAATTAGCCTCAGCCATCCACATGAGGTCCATGTTGCAGGCCAGCAGGGGGAGATGAGACCCGGCTTGGTTTTGGTGAGCACTGCTGAGGTTACCATTGGTCAGCAAAACGTCAATTATCAGCTGAAGGTTGGTCTCCCATCGAATTGGCTCCCCAAACAAAATTACGACTGCAAGTGGAAGTACAGCATAGAGGTGCAATAGTTTTAGATAAACAAGATAGGATGTTAAACGAGAAGAAACAAGCGTTTTCTTACCTTCAACTTTAGGAAGGTTGATGACTGGATTGGTCTGAAATGAAAATAGGGATAATTAACATTGTTTTTCTACGCTAAAGATCTGACTTGAGCGCCACACTGTTGTATCTCACTGGTAGTTTGGGTCTCCTGTTGTGATCGACCATGTCCAGCAGTGGGTACGATTCCCTCAGCATGTCAATGCTGACAACATTCTTAAAGCCCATGCTAGAGATATAGAAGAGTTAGTAGTTATTAGGATCTAAATGATAAAAAGAGGAGGGGAAATGGTTGTTTTTTATGTAAGACACCAGGGTTACTTTTGAGCTATTTCCAGAACAGGCCCCTGTCCCGACACCAAGACACACTTGTCATGGAACTTCCTCAGCATTCTCAGGGGACTGTGGGACATGATGACTTGATCCTGTGTTATCTGAAAATAGATAAAGAGCAAGGGGAGGTTAATAGCAGAAAAGGTAGGAGGCACCGGATAATTTAATGGGAGAGGAAGTAAAAGTATAGTTTGATCCACATTTAGGAGCTATAGGGCGGCGTTGGCGTGTCAGAACTCACAGGTACTCCCAGGATGTGAGAGAGCTGGTCGGCTTTTGTTTGTCGGAGGCAGTTCCCTGCGTTTGTGACAAAAACAACTGGCACCACAAACTGTCCCTGAGAGTCGACCAGCTTCTCAAAGGCCTTTTTTGCGGCGGGGATTGGCATCCTTCCTCGGACAAGCACGCCATCGATGTCGAACAATAGCCCAAATCTTGGCTGCGCCTGCGAAAGGGAAGAACAGGATCCCGCTGATCAATTCAGACCCTCCACCAAAGGAATCCCCACACACACTCCACTTGTAGAAAATCTGAACAAACAACCCAAAGCCTGAGCTGAAATGGAAATGGCGATCCACTTAGGCTCTGAATACATTTTAAATGTCAATGATGTGTGAGATGCGACTTTAAAAACCTGTTTATAATCATATCAGCCATTTTTCTTAGTAGATAAACAGGCAGTAACGCCTATAATGTCTCCCCACAGCATATGGAATTTCTTAATAACATTTGGTAATGGCTGCTCCCAGTATTTGCTCCTTCGGGCCTTTTATTTGTGCAAACATAAAGGGAATCCTGAGGTGACACAGCAGTACAGGGGGCTGTTGGGTTACACTGTTAGCATGTCACAAACCATCTTAAAAATACCAAACATGTCTACACAAACGTCTGTGGGTTGTTGTTGTTTTTTTTCTCTCTGACGCAGAAGAGGGATTAAAACAAAGCAGGAACCCAGTTTATCCAAGATTGTTTTCCTGATGAGTTCCACGGTAAGCTACATCTGCCGCCGTGCTGATGTCACGTCCCTGTTGTTGTGTGCGCGAGCGCATCCACAGCTGACTAAAGTTGCGCGCGGCCGATACATTGTAACACGTCAAAGAAACGACTACAGAGTATCGAGCGGTTGAAAACGGGCCGTTTGAGAAAGTAGCCCGGTGGGAAAGGGGGGGAAAAAAGCGGACTGTTTGAGCCGTACCTTGGTGGCTGACTGAGTTCCGCAAAGCCCGCATCGAGAGCCGACAGCCCCCGCTACCCGCCTGGCCCGGCGGTTACTGAGGGTGCACGTGCCCCTGTAAAACGACAGGAGCCCCCTCATCGCTTCCGTTCCTCACGCGGGTTTTTAAAAAGTGATGGGGGAAAAAAAACGAGAAATAAAAAAAAAAAGAGGGAAGCAGGGGGTCCCCCCCCCCACACGTGAAGCACGAGCCGGCTCGCACCGGCCGCGGTGGCTGGGTGCTCCGCTGGTTGTTTTTTTTCTTTTTTTTTTCTCTTCTCCTCGTCTGTAACGTGACTGGGCCGGAACCCGTGACGCCATATGAGGAGGAGGAGGGTCTCTGCTGCGTCTCATGGCGGAGGAAGACGCGTGGAGCCCAAAGAAACGACGCGTCTGCACCGCAGCCCCCGCTGCCATTTTAGACACCGAGGCAGTGCGGGGAGGTTTCCGCCGGCCCCGGCCAGCGGAGACCCAACCGCAAATCCAAATGGATTCAGTCGCCGAGGTCACGTGCACCACGTCTGCCTCGGGTTTTGCAGACAAAGGTCTGAGTTAGAAGTCGATCGAAAATGCCATGTTTGCCCAATTACAGTAAATGATCGTTTGGAAATGTCTGGCAAAGAAGCGCGAGGTCGAATCTCTCCTGGAGTAAAGCGATGCTTTGTCTGATGGCTAATACCCAACACCGTTACCCCTCTTTTCAAATGCCCCAAGAGCTATTTGCGCTTTTCGGAATGCCACGCAGCACGTGTGGCAGGTCTTGGTTCTGAAATCAGACACAAAGCTTCTTCCCCGTGCTCCTCCAGCTTTATTGACAGTTTAAAATTACATTTCTATTTTCTAGGACTTCAGTTGCACTTTCCTTCCGACTTAAAAACTGAGTACAAGCAAATGGTATTTATACAGTAGTCTAAGTGATATTGTACAAAAATAACTTTTTTGATTTCTGTGAAAACATTTTTCATTCCCAAATAACTCCAAATTCTGCTGTTCTGACTGTTCTCGATGTTTAATTTTTGCCAAGGTAGAAAAGAAAAAGAACAGAAAAGAAAGAAAAAGGGTAAAGAAAACAAAACAAACCAAAAAAAAGCTGTTTTAAAAAGAAGACTTTTACCTTGGACTTCCAAGTGATATTTAAATTGTAAACAGATTTCTATAAAAGAGCATGTTTCTTTTATTAACTCCAAAATTTTTATCTTAGTAATATAACATGTAGTTTGTTATCGCCCACTTGTGGCTGCCTGTAGGGCTGAAATGCATCATGTTATGAACTGTTTCCATGTCATACTCTCTTGGCCAACTCATATTCCACTAAAACAAACCAAAATAACCACACATGGAAGTTTGGTTTCCATTTACTCCCTTCTTCCATCTCATTTTACTGAGATGCACTTCCACAAGCTCAGAGGTCCTATAGATTCCCATATGTTTCGTCCCATTTTTTTTTTCCATTGCTGATCACCAGTGGCTTGGAAAGGGGGGTTCTTTAACAAAGCATTACATAACACCGCTACCAAACTAAAACTTTTTTTTTGTATTGAATGCAGAAAGATATTTTTTCACCCCTTTCATTGTATTACATGTCGAGAGGCTCACTGGCCTGGGACTAGCCTCTGTTAGCCAACCGTTGGCCAGTGAAGAGGATTCAGAGAAAATAATACAACCAACCATCAATCTGAAAAAAAAAGGAGGGGCAACAGAGGGCACTGATTATGCAGTTGCTTCAATGGTGCACTCTTTTGCCAGGTGGCCTGCCTTTCCACAGTTGTAGCAGTTAGTCTCGCTGGCTTTACTGCAGTGCACAGCAACGTGACCAATCTCACCACACCTGCGGGAGAAAAAAGTGGCTCAGTGACTTCAGTCAGGGGCAATATAACACAATTTAATCTAAACTTTTGACAGATAATCTGAATCAGGACTCAAAAGCCAATGCTTACCTGTAACATTTCACCTTATCGCAAAGCTTCTGGATGTGGCCAAACCCACCGCAGGAGTAGCACTTCTGCTCGTTGGCATGGTCGCAGTCACGGGCCATGTGGCCGGCTTTGCCACAGGTGTAGCAGAGCTGCTCCCTCTCCTTTTTGGGCTCCTTGCAGTCCCGGGAAATATGACCACTCCTGTGGCAGTTATAGCATGCTGTACACACACACACACACAACACAAACATTTCTCAATACTGGGGGGGGGGAGCTTTATATCAGCTTAAACCAAAGTAAAAAAGAGAAAAGCAATGCACACCATCCTCAGTTTGGTCACAGTCCCTGGCCATGTGTCCTTGGTCTCCACACCGATAGCAGAAGAGCTCTGCAAAGAAGTTTGAATGTTTGGTTGAATGTTTGCTTGGTTTTCATTTGTTGGCTTAAAATCAAAGAGTCTACTACAACTCATGTCAGTGTGACATGTGGGAGTTACTTTGTGAAAACCATCCTACACTAGGTGTAGTCAGAACAGGAGACAGTACCCTTGCCTCGTCCCCGGCCCCTGCCACGTCCACGTGCGCCGCTGGCATTGGGGCAGTGCTTGACCCAATGGCCAGAGCGGCCACATCCAAAGCACTCGCTGTTGCTGCTCATCTCCATATCCTCGACCTTGGGAAATAGAAATGTATTTTATTAATTTTATTATTTTTTTTTTTTTTTACATCACACACAGACTTAAACAACAAACTTTAATTGGATATTTTACCAAAACACAATTTTTTATATAGACAAAGAATCAGAATTCTATGATTCATAACTGAATATGCACATTTCAATGCACATGCCTGAGGCCTCTTGTAACAGTAAGTTGAGTGCAAATCTGAATGTTGCATTTTGCAACCTAAACCAAAGCAGCTGTTTGTCCGGATCCAAAAAAAGGCTGTAATGACTGCTGTCATGAAGACCCTGGTGAGAGTCTCAACATGGCTCCTCAAGTTTAGTCAAATAAAAAAAACACCAGTACTGACAATAGTCAACCTAGCAAAATGGCTACAGGGAGGGGGTCTACTCTACACTCAGAGGGACACATCTTTCAGTTGCTCAGTCTATCACAATGCCTCAGCCTACAATTAACTACTAAGCTAACTTACACGCCTTCCTCAGTGTGATCGCGATGTTATCGCCATTGGACAAACTTCTGTTTGCTGAAGACATCAAGTTAAGAAAAATAAAGTTAATAAGTAATGCAGTTTCTGGCGTGCATGGGGAGAAGTCACGATCGTCCATGTCACCGAAAAGAAGCAGTCGAATATGACTTGCTCTGAATCTTTGAATAGCTGCACCAAAGAGTGGTCAGTTATTTTAATATGGTCAGCTAAATTCGTGTCGAGGCTCAACTTTCAGCAGGTCACATGACATTTTTTAAAAAGGAGAATCAAATGTTTAGCCGATATCCATAGGAGGGATGGCTTTTACATAAGATTTCTAAAACAGAGGGGTTGTAAATAATTTAAGTTTACTTAAAGCACACGCTGCTAACACGCAGCCGAGTGACCATGAGAGCATGCCGCGAGTGGTGTGCTAGCAAGGCTAGCTAAAGAGGACAGCGCGTCACATAATATTTTGGTGATTGAAAGCCTACCAGAGGCTAAATCCTTGTCAAATTAACGACAATACGACACTCGAGTTGCTTAAAAGCATTTGTGTTTGATGTAGGTACAATTCCAAAGCCAGACTAAGCAACTCCAAAATGTTTGAGCCTGCGAAACAGACATCAAATGCCAAAGGTTGAAGCTACGCTAACGTTGGCCTAGTCACGTTGATTTTTCTGCGTGCTCGCGAGACACCACTGTTGCTGGCTAGCACCAACTAGCCTTCCACCTCACGACTACGACCAAGAAATGCGGTTCAGTCGACGACAGACCCTTACTCTCTAGTAAGAAACTTTCGATTCGATATTAGTAGCGATACATCCTTACAAAATACGTATATTGTCGCGCATTCGAGCGAATATGCATTAAAAACAAGATTTCCCGCCAGGGCGCACACACCAAAGTCGTTGTGACGAGCTAATGTTAGCAGGCCTGACTCTGAGCCTGATGCTGAGTTAGTGAGAGCAAACAAAATCCAACCAGTGCGCTATTAACAAAAAAACTAACCAAATATTCCGGTTTCCACTATATTGTCTTTTAAATCACAATCGTTTTACAGTGATTAGAAATACAACATCAAATGATTATACTGATTTAATACCGTTTAAAAGCTTACCTTGATGACTACCTAGCTGTGTCAGTGTTTACGCCTCCTTTTTTGCGCTACATGCGGTGCCAGCAGGAGTTCCTGAATTGTCATTCACGGTAACCAGTGAAAACCTGCACAGTCATTGGCTACAATCACATCAAATGACCAATAAGAATTAAGGATGTCTGGACACCGCCTCTACAAATCAGCCAATTGTGGATATCGAATGGTCTTTTTTTTCCATATATTTTTTTACTCTTATTCGACTGACCTTATTTCCTAGAATTTCTTTTGACATTTGAGACTTCGCAAAGTGGGAAACATTGTTGCTTTTATGGTAGGAGCATAATTACTTGAAACATTCTGCAAGAAAAACACGATTGCGACCAAAGTTGATGGAAAGATAACAATAATTCTTACGGTATTTTACAAAGTCCGAGGAATGGTAAGAGTATGAATAGCAAAGTAGATAAATGCATTATGAATTGTTCGTTTTAAACCGTTTTGTTTAGTTCAAAACGACCAAAATGAGTTAAGTGCCTGTTAATATATTAATTGACTAAGATATTCAGTTTGATTCTGCTGTTCTGCTTATTTATAATCATTATCTTTCTGTGAGAAAATTAGCTTTTGTACGTCCTAAACCTGTTCATCCCACCAACATAACTTGATGGTAATTTTTTTCAAATATCATACCGATTACAATCGATCCTGTGTACAAATGCCTGTCTGGTATTGCATAAGTTCATAAAAGTACACCCTTTTCAGATTTAGAGAAATCAAAAGCAATTGTAATTGTATGTTAAACTTTTAAACTATTGGTCGAATGTCAGTGCCAATCAGTATAATTGTCTAAAAAATGTTGAACTTAACCACTGTAAAGTTTGTCCGTTCAATATATCCAATGTTTGAATTATATTTGCTATATTAATCATCTTTAAAATCTTTAGAAATATAGAGTCTAGGGGCTTTAAGTAATGCATGAATAATGCATAAAAACAAGCATGTAGTTCAGTGCTCATTCTCACGCAGCTTAATGTTTACACTCTTGTTCTTTCTGTATACACTCTTGTTCTTTCTGGAGTGCTGATGACATTGTTTATAGAATACAGGAGGAATGATGCACAATTTATGGGAGCTATGAGTCTCAGCTAACTGGCCTGAGTGCTCTTTCAGATCAATAGGTGGAAGAGAGGCTTTCATGAGTCTTAAGGTGGCTTTGCTGTAAATATCTCTCATAGTCTTTTTTGTGATCTAGAGGCCACATTTTATTTGGTCCACAACATATATTGTGAAGCAAAAGCAATTATCCCCCTGTAGTGTGTTACATCTAAACAAATGAAGGGCTGTTTTAAAACCTCAGTTCATTCGTAGTGTTGTATTTAGGTTGGGTTACCTTAACAAATGACAAAGCCCTGCCCTCATCTTCACAGACACTGTACTTGCTATTTCTCTTACTTGTCAGATTCATAGTTTCTTTGAAAACGGCATTATCAAAAAAATTTGAGGTAATTTAAAAGTTAGATCAGATGGCTGAATGCACTGATTGCTTTTAAGCTGGGAGAAAATAAATCTGTTTTGATGTTTGAAAATGTCTGGATAAGCAATATTTGCTACACCCATCAGGACCACTGACTGGGACGTTAATAAGGATGTTTCATCCTCAGATGGTGATCATTTGAGTTCCCTGAAAGGACTTTTGAGCCGTGATGAGGGGACCTCAAGGGACCCTAACCAGTATACCACAGAGATGGTGAACACATGGTGAGTGCAAATGGAAATTACAATCATAGGGTTTCAGGATGACAATGAGCTTTAATGATAGCTGTCATAAATCTCAATAATGTTTTAGTAGACTGCTAAATGGTGGAGTTAAATATAATGCATATTTGACTGAACTACTACCATGCACCAAGTACGGCTTGATGCTTTTTATATAAAATAATTCCACAAGTAGCTAATTCCTAGTGATTTACATGGACTATAAAACACATCAGACACAATTTACGGTAGATACAGAATTAAACAAAAACAGAAAAAGGTACAAATGTTTTGTTTGTTAACTAAACGTTTTGAAACGTGGCTGCACCATCAGGAAAGCTAGTCATTTTAAGAGGCTACGAAGTTGCAGTTCACCTTTTCACCAGGCGGTGGCGCGCCTAGGAATAACATGGATCCTTTCCTTTTCCAGAAACCGGTGGGTTGTTAATTTGTAGGCTCTTCAAAAGGACGCCTATTGAGTAAGAACTGATTTCCAATCCTTTTCTAGTGCTATTTATACTTTACACTCCTTTGCAAAGGCTTAAACTTTCTATTTGAGGCCATGGGGTTACGTTTTTAAAGACGGCGACAGCTCCATCACGGGACTTTGGAGCATGCAATCACTAAATATGACGTTTTTACAAAAGCGTTTTAAAGATCAACTGGGAGTTTCTCTTGCGAGCAAAAGCGGCGGTTTTGCCCTAGTGGGAGGGTTTAAGTTTGTGCTATAGTTGCGCAGTGTGAGTGATGCTTGCATGTCTTATTGTGACTGCAAGGTCCTGTTTCAATCACTGGCGTCAGACGGACGCTCAACACCAAGTCAAAACGCCTCACCTTCTCCTAAACAACGTAAATATTGTTTTAGAGAGGGACGCTTTACGCAGTAACCTACGGTAATGATATTCGGACAGAGCCTAACTAGACTAAAAGGAAACTCCTCGCCGTGCCACTTTGAAGGACTGACGGATTTTCCTTTTTCGCATTGACCACAGCTGGGATATAAAACTTTCCCTCTGTTGTTTTAGGCAGTTCGTAAAAGAGACTATGCCGACCTTCATGACTGACATTAAATCGGGATTCGCCGGCTACAGGAGTATTTGATTCAACATCGGAATCTTTACCAGCTTCGCCTGTTTATTATTTTTCCTCTTTTCTTTGAATGCGTTGCATTTATGGTGATGTCACCGACGCCACTTTTTCCTGAAGTTATGGCGGAGCACAACTTTTTGAACTTCTCTTGGTGAGCATGTACAGGCTTCCGCTCCTAGCGCTTACTACTCTTTGAATGCCGTCAGAAAATAATATGTTTGACTGTTTAAACTTTGCTCCAGAGGGCACGTGGGGAAGAAATTCACCGTTTGAACAAATTAAATTTGAACAGGCAGTGAAGAGAGCCATGAAGTTAGACGTTATAGTTCGCCTCTGAGGGCCTTCAGGGAATTTCACTGTTTCATGGAAGTACGAGGCCTGACTAAAAGCACACGTAACTACCATTTATAGTACATTCACTGTAGTTTTTCTGGGTTAAAGCACGCAATTCTGTTGTTTCTTCCTTGCAGTCCTTTTGTTTGTTTTTACGTGTAACTCAACTGAAAGCGTTTCTAACTCAGCCCGTCTCTGCCTGACAATGCTAGCCTGCTGACATTGTTTCTTACCTACATTTTTTTAACTTTTAGGACTGAAGTTAAACTTTTAAATCGATGGTGGGTTTGTTAATCGGCCAGTGTTTCTTAGGTTACCTTTTACGCAGCTCTCAATGTAATCAGATTGGAGTAAAGTCATATTATTCCGGATTTGACATATTTGGTGCCGTTACCTTCTTCTGGATGGATCACGGCTTTTTGTTTTGGACACAAACGCAGCAGAGATGTGGGAAAGGTGGTCTTCCAGTTTTTTTTCTGCACAACAGACATGTCACCACGTGAGCTGTGACAGCTAACCACAAACTCCACCGAATTAGCTCCCCAGGGTTAGCTGGGCTTTGCAGAAAACAGCAGAAGGACTTTAGAGATTTTGGGGAGCGAAAGTGGTATATATGCAATACGTTATGGCCATGAGTCATTACAACCCAAAAAATAAAAAACACTTATGTGTATATCTATAATATAGCACCATAGTTTGTATTTGAAACAAAGCAGATGGGGGTCTGTATGTGGTAATTGGAGTGCATCCATTTACAGTTGTAATCTATTTATTTATTTATTTGTTGTTTATTTTTAATGGCTTGCTATAGGTTAGAGGTTGTATGGATATACTTTGCTAATATGGTACAAAGTTTAAAAAGCTTTAGTAGTCTGTTGTCTGATCATGAACACTAAAGATCATACTGTAAATAACATCTCTGTGAGAGTTTCAGATTTTCCAGGTGAAACTAAATTAGTTTTGTCTACTTTTACTGGCTCATATGCCATCCTCTATAAACTAAAGCTATGCTGGGATGTATTGTTTATTGTTATGCACAAATAACCACTAAGTGTGTTAGGATTTAAATATTTCCTATCAGGCTTTTTAAACGCTTTCTGTTTGCATCACCTGAAATGTCCCAGATCGTGGAATAATCCGGGGGGGCTGCAGTCGGGCCGACTTTGTGTAGAGATTACTTCTAACCTCATGATTCCATAACCCAAATCTGCTGCTACCCCCACTTTAAAGAGAATAATCGCCTCAGTTACAGTCCCCTTAAGATACTGTGGCAGTGTTTAAAAACGTTGCATGATTCAGCATTCAGATTAAGAATAACAACATAAACTATTTATATTCCATAAAGCAGTTCACTTAACTTCTTTTTTCATTCTCTCTTTTTAACCATAACAAACTGTTACTTCCAATTGGATTTCAATCTGTATTTGCACACCTGTAATATCCCCTCAAAGAATGATGAGAGCAAATGTGATATTATTTGCACCTTATTTCTTACAGACCATTGGTAGCGCTTGGTTTTACTCATGGAGCACCTTCAGGGTTTGCGGAAGACTCTGAGCAACGGCTTTGGAATGAAGGATTCTGCGTTCGAGGTCCCCTGCCTCTCCCCCACCATGGTCCAGGGCTTCCCCTGCCAGCGGCGCTCGTCAGACGACAGCAAGATGCCCGACTCCAAGGCGAGCAGCACGATCCGCGTCTACCTCCCAAACCAGCAGCGCACGGTGGTGAGTCGGTTTAGGGGTGCCAGATTCTGAGAATTTGTTTTGGAAACTGTTTCTCTATTTATTGATCAATTGCTTTTAAAAAAAAGTGTATTTGTTCTCCAGGTAAATGTTCGACAAGGCATGACACTGTACAGCTGTCTGATTAAAGCGTTGAAGGTTCGAGGCCTGCAGCCTCAGTGCTGCGCTGTCTTCAAGCTGCATCCCGGACAAAGGAGGTGAGCCCAGGAGTCCAGTAAAATCCTGACCAGCGACAAAGAGGCATCGGATGTCTGTGTAGATACTCTCCAAATACTGTAAATGTGTGTGTACAAGTGTTTTTTTTCCTTTCCATTTAGTAGAAAATTACGGATGGATTGGAATACTGACTCCACCTCACTTATCGGGGAAGAGTTACTGGTGGAAGTTTTAGATCACGTTCCTTTGACGACTCATAATTTTGTAAGAACCCTAATTTTCTTTCTTTTTTTAAAGCACTTTTTTCGCAACTGTCAGGGGGGAAAAAAGGTTTTAAAATGTCTTGTTGTTTTTTATTTTTGTTTGTTTGGTCCTTTTTCAGGTCCGGAAAACATACCTGAAGCTAGCGTTCTGTGACATTTGCCAGAAATTTCTTTTGAACGGATTCCGATGCCAAACGTGTGGCTACAAATTCCATGAGCATTGCAGTACCAAAGTCCCCACAATGTGTGTGGACTGGAGCAACATTAGACAACTCCTGTGAGTTTGCAGTGTTAATGTTGAGTTGGGTAATCAGAGCCCCTCTCCATCCTCAGCCGATTTTCTGCATAGAAGTTTTCCGTTTCATCTGAAGTAAAATTTGTAGTGCTTCAGAGACACAAAAAAAAGGTGGGGAAATTACACCACTGATCTCTTCGTTCTGATTAGGTCTGAACTTGTATGCAGGGTTTTGCATACTTGCAGTCTAAATAGAAGCCTTTTTAGTTTCATTTTGCATGAGAGACTGTAGGGTTGACGGTTATCATTTTGAGATCTGTGTCAGAGCCGAAAAGGATATGAAAACCCTACTGCCACGGTCCACATCAGTCGGCTGTTAGGTGGTTAAACCATATTGGTTATTAACCCTCTTTTTAAATCTTCAGGTTGTTTCCGACACCTGGTGAGAGCGGTGCCCCGTCCCTGCCACCGGCCACATCCAGACGTATGAGAGAGTCCTTAACACGGTTTCCAAGGTGAGGCCGGGATGCTTGTTCTTTTTTTTTTCTTCCACATGCCTGAAAATATTCAAACGATATGGACATCAGGCTCTGTTTTTCCTGAACAGAGCCTTTGTTGGTGATCAGAGGATGGAAGAGTTAATTGGCCCCTTGTTAAATGTCCCTTGCTGAAACAGATATATTTTCCTTCTACGTTAAATGGCATCCTACACATTCACTTTAGTAAACATGAATGATAGCTTCGTCCTTTTGAGATAAACACTGCATTTTTTTCTTTGATTTCAAATCATTTGCCACACTGGATGGTTTGCCCCGTGTCACCTGTGGCTCATTTTAGATGTGGTTTGGCTTTTGCAGTAAACCTCAATGACAGATAATGACATACTGGCGTTGGATGTGTTTACTCGAAACAGGATTTAATGTTCGTTAACGGGGCTCCGTGGTAACGACCACTGTCAGTTCTGTGCTGTTTGTCATGCTGGAGCCCAGCGCAGCTGTCGCGCCAACGTTGAAAGAACCTTAATCTTAATGAAATCAAATCCTGTTTTTGGTGACGTCCCCAGCTGTACGGAGGCTTACCAGTCCAAGGGCTAACGTAAGGGGGTGAAAAGAGTCTGTTGTTTCACGAGCATATGAAATAGTTAAAAAACACTCTGAGCTGCCAGATTGGCACTAACAAAGTATCCAGTTGCTCCACATAGAGAATTCTCAAACGCTCTTTGGAAACCGTTCTGATTTGCTCCGAAGCCGTGCGCCTCAGGGTCTCTGCCCCTGGGCGTCATTCAGGTGGGGTTCCACTGTGCTCCAATGAGCCATTGGTAACTGAAGTTCCTGTAAGACCTTTGATGGTCACGACGGCTCATGAATATTAAAACTCTGCTGAAGTGAGATTGTTGGTGGCAGCATTGACATGGCTGCACACTCCCACTGAGCCCGAGCTGTTCAGCCCGGCCTATATAAACGATGCCCGAACCAGGACGATGAGCAGAAATGACAGGAATAAACCTGTGGCGCCGACGTCCTGTTTTTAAATTAGTCCTTGAGTTAATGGTGTTCCTCCTTTAACAGACAGTTTTTGTGTCATGTTGAAGCTGCGGCACAAAGAAAGCTGGATGCTAATGTTTGATTCTGGTCTCACCCTCCCCTCCCCCATCACAGCTCAGCCCACCGGTATTCCACCCCTCATGCCTTCAACTACGCCACGTCCTATGCACCCACCGGCGGCCTCTCCCAAAGGCAGCGCTCCACTTCGACACCCAACGTCCACATGGTTAGCACCACCCTGCCTGTAGACAGCAGCATGATCGAGGTAACTACACACCGCCCGGGCCCCTCCACTGCTCCTGTAGGTTAAGGCGGCCACTCCTAAAATATCTCAGGCCTCAGAGTGTTCTAGTCCTCCTATGTCTGTCTTATGCACCAGATTGCATCAAATTTCAGCATTTGTTTGTACAGTGTTTTTTTTTGTTTTTTTAAACGGCTGTTACTTCCTCTTGTTCAGTTCCACTTTTCTGCTTTATCACCACCTTTGCTCTTGCAGAACCCGCGAGCTAGTTTTTCTTGATATGTAGAGTTTTAGTTGCGTTTGCTCTGGTGTAGAAACTCTGGCATCACTTTTCTGGTGGTTCTTCCCTCACTTTCCTTTGTTCTGTCCCATGTCCCTCCTTTCTCCTCACTGGCCTGTTATATTTACCCCACTGGGGAGTAGCTAGACTGCCTGAATACCTCCCCCAGCTCCTGGTGCCATAGATTCTGGCTGAAGAGGAAAGTAGGTATTGTGCACTTCTCCCAGTCTTTTGCTGAGGCCTCGTCTCAGAGTCCAGAAAAGGTTAGAAAGCAGAGTGTCTGTGTGCAGTCTGAATGGCATGCGTTGCAATCAGGCTATCTGCATTAACGTCTTAGCACTGCAGTGGAACCACGAGTGGCAGCATTGCACGGTGTGTTTTGATCAAACTAAGTGAATTATTTTTATTTCTATGTTTTTTGTTTTCCTTTGTCTCTTCAGGATGCAATGCGCGATCACGACTCTGGTAAGTGTCTGTTCTGTGTTTCAGTCAATTTCTTGTCGTGCAAATTATAGTAAATCCCAATTAAACTTTGATCTCTTTTCCTGAAGCGGGGAGTTCCCCCAATCAGAGCCCCACAGGCTGGTCCCAGTCTCAGTCCAAAGCCCCCGCACCTGCTCAGAGAGAGAGGGTGCCATCCTTCAACACTCAGGAGAAAAATAAAATTGTAAGTCCTGTTCCACTATAAATGCTATTTTTCACATTTCAGACATCTGGCAAGATCCTGCCTTTTAGAGCACACAACATAAGCCGTCATGTGCTGCTTGTGAGGCATGACTTAGACCTGTTTGACTTGTGCTCATCCAGAGACCTCGGGACAAGCGGGACTCGAGTTACTACTGGGAGATCGAGGCCAGTGAGGTTTACCTGCAGTCCCGCATTGGCTCAGGCTCCTTTGGAACAGTATACAAAGGAAAGTGGCATGGTAAGAATGCACCACAAGCGGAGCATGAAGGTTTGGCAAAGTCACACAAGACTTATCCGACGAGCTAACTGACTCATGGAAAGAGCTGAACATACTAAATGTGGGCAGTAAGGTGTCGGTACATATTATATGCAAAGGGTGTCTAAAGGTCATATATGTATTTTTGTAGGTGATGTAGCAGTGAAGATTTTAAAGGTAATTGACCCCACACCAGAGCAGTTCCAGGCATTCAGAAACGAAGTGGCAGTCCTGAGGTAAGAGCCACTTTTGTTTCTTGTCTCAGACCCGCAGCTGAAATGAGAAAGAGGCACTCGCCCGTCCTGCTGAGTCATCTTCAACACCAGCTTTTATCTCGCATCATCTTGGGTAATCTTTTTCTGCTTCTGGTTGCAGGAAAACACGACATGTCAACATTCTGTTGTTCATGGGCTACATGACGAGGGACGCCCTGGCCATCGTTACCCAGTGGTGCGAGGGCAGCAGCCTGTACAAACACATTCACGTCCTGGAGACAAATTACAAGATTATCCAGCTCATAGATATTGCCAGACAGACAGCTCAGGGCATGGAGTAAGTCCTAAAAAGTGGAGCTTTTGTGATCATGCTCGTCCAAATTGAGACATCTAATTAATTTTTTTCATGTTTCAGTTATCTGCATGCAAAAAACATCATTCATCGTGACATGAAGTCCAACAGTATCCTTTCTGTGTGCATTTGAACTTGTACAAAAAAGCAAAGCGCATAATGCGCCATAGTCCTCATTCTGCTGAGGAGCCTTCTTTTTAGCCGAAGTTCTTTGACCGCCGCACAGACATCTTCTTACACGAAGGGCTAACGGTGAAAATTGGGGACTTCGGTCTCGCCACAGTGAAGGCCAGGTGGAGTGGCTCTCATCAGGTGGAGCAGCCTTCTGGATCCATCCTTTGGATGGTTAGTAACACTGTAAACCTCACAGCATTTGCGGATTGGCCATAACGACTTTGGAATAAGGAGATAATTTGTTTGTTGTTGTTGTTGACAGGCTCCTGAGGTTATCCGAATGGAGGACAACAATCCCTACAGCTTCCAGTCGGATGTCTATTCCTATGGAATTGTTCTCTTTGAGCTCCTGACGGGAGAGCTCCCATACTCCCAGATAGCAAACAGAGATCAGGTAACTTAAAGGTAGCAAGTGTGGGTTTTTTTGTTTGTTTGTTTAGATGGCTTTTTAAACCTGAGTGCATTACACAGAACTGGAACCCCACAATCGGGCATTTGTCTGGTGGCTTTGGGTCAGAGTACACACCCAGCCCAGGAGCTGGTGAAAAGACACTGTGCTGCTGTCTGAGGAGGGTAATGGAGCTGGCCTAAAGCCCGCCATGAAACACAGGCGGACGCCGTGGAGCCACTGGCCTAATTTTAGACCGTAATACAACCCTGTGTGAGAAAAGGGGTTCATGGGTGTGCGCTTGTTTTTGTGTGCGCGCGTCTGTAGGATTTGGCTGGAATCACATCTGGCTCCTTGTCATTATTCAGAGCTGGCTAAATCCCCGCGCACAGTCTGCCCAAAGTGGCATTGTGATCCCCTGCCATACCCTGTTCTCCTTGATACTGTAGAATGACTTTGTGCTCAGCTGACCTGGCAGGCACATAGAGTCCTCCTATCATCTTTTATCTCTACAGCATCATGCACTCATGCCTTTACAATCGCTCCAGTGTTTTAGATGTCTGTCACCTTAGACTCACAGGCCGTATTTATAAAGAATCTGCAGGGTGGACTGCTGATTCAGGATTGATCAGATGTCCCGCACAGTTGCACTGACCTCACTGGTTCAAGTTTAAAATGTTTTCTAATGTGATTGCTTCTCCCCTCTGGCTTCTGCTCTTAGATTATTTTCATGGTGGGCAGAGGCTATTTGTCCCCAGATCTCAGTAAGCTCTACAAAAACTGCCCCAAAGCCATGAAAAGGTTGGTGGCTGACTGCATCAAAAAGTCCAAGGACGAAAGGCCACTCTTCCCTCAGGTGAACAACTCTCTCTCTCTCTCTCTCTCTGGTCCTAGATGTCAAGATTAATTGAGAGCATTTTTTCATTTATTCATGTTTTATTACCCCCCCTTTAGATTCTGTCCTCCATCGAGCTCCTCCAACACGCTCTCCCTAAGATAAACCGCAGTGCCTCAGAACCGTCCCTGCACAGAGCTGCCCACACCGAGGACATCAACGCCTGTACTCTGACCTCCACCAGACTGCCTGTTTTTTAAAGGCTGAAGTGGCGCCGATCCTCCTCCTCCTCCTTCTCTTACAAAAATATACAAATCCAAGCATTCAGTGGGCCCAAATTCTCTGCGTTAATATTTTAGCTTGAATAGACCACCAGTTAAACATGGCATCATATGTAAACCAATGCTGAACAACATATAATAAACAGAGGGGAGAGAGAAGGGCACAGGTGAGCAAATGGTACATCATCTTGCGTTCTAAAACACATGTGGAGTGTGCATGTTGGCATTGTATTCAGTTCAAGTTGTAAATATATGCACGCACACCTACCTAAGACAGCCATGAAGGAAGCCCAGGAGATAGATGTCTCTCGATTTGGGCTCTGTCACATGAAGAATGCCTTTGTCAGGTCTGCCCGGTTTCTGGTGAAGAGGACTTTCTTTTTTTCTTTTCTTTTTTTGTAAAGCTTATCTGCCTTAAGTGGAAACAAAGCCTGGACTAAGATGCCGCACAACTTCACCTCCTCCGGTTATCACAAAGCCGCTGGAAGTCGTCCATCTAGTTGCACAGTAGTTGATTTTTTGCATTGTCTTAAATGATGGGTAGAAATGGGAATTTTTGGTATTTGTTTTTTCTCGAGTTCTTTAATTGTCTTTTTTTGGGGAGGGGCAGGGTGGGGTATTTTGGTTGAAATATAGCCTGTCTGAAAGCTAACATGAGCGGTGATGGATATCAGTATATTTCACGCAGTAGCAGCGGGTTTGACGGCCCACCCAGTGGCCTCATCGCTCTCTTCAGCCCTTACCACCAGTTAGCTATGATGAGCTGGACGGTTGGCAGGTGTCTTAAATATTTAAAATGATTTGGAAACTAATTTGTTTTTATCATGTCACTTTGAGGAGGTTTTATTGTAAACATGGTGGGAAAGTTGTCTATGCGATATTTTAATAAAATTAAGTTAAATTCCTTTGCCAAAATGGACTCGTTCTTCACGGTGTTGTTTTGTCAGCACGTTCTAGATCTGTCGCCCTTTTGTCGTAACGCAGCCGCGCGCTGTCTCGGCTTCTCTGACACTGAAGTGCCACACATGTGCAAGACTTTGTTGCAGGATTCAATGTTTGCCGTAACAGTGGCAACGTGGTGTAACCTCACAGGGGACCCAGTCCAGACACGCCACCCAGGGATTTCCCCATTGGCTATCGCCACTGTGTACCTCATAGCCACTGGCAAGCTCGGTGGAACAACAATCATTCAGCAAGGGAGCGACATTAGGGGGAAGAGGAGCGCACAGTTGTGTTTTGATTTAGTATAAACATCCAACGCTCAGATGCTGTGGGGCAGCAGCACTTCACACTCAGGTTCACAGTAAATACAGCAGTGTTGTGGTGGTCTAAATATAGGAGTACTTGTTTATTTTTTTTCTTGCTTCATGGACATTTCAAAACAAGGCATAAGGATATTTTTAGCACTGTTCAGTTTCATTCTTTATAAAAACAAACTTGACAGCACAGGTAAAGCAGGCCTGAAAAGGGTAGCAACACAATAAGAGCAAAGTCTTATTCAACTACTGATCAGCTATTTTTACAACGGCTCTGCTCTGTGTGGTTAACTGGTCTATATCTGCATCCTGACAAACTCTGCCCTACTTCTGAGGCATGCAACAGCTCCATCTCATGGCTCTTGCTGCTAAAAAGATACAGCAGACTTTGGAGTTATCTAACATAACATTATATGAAATATATCCAGGACAGGCTGTCGATCCAGGACCATTAAGATCCTGCAGACATGCTGCGGTATCTAGCTCCATTATTTGCTTCTTATCCGTTTAGGATGTATTTGGAAAACCCACAAACAGAGAGTGGAGGTTAACTTTTTTTGGTAAGAAGGAAAATGCGTAAAGTAAAGAATGGGGGAAAAAATCATGTCTGACAGGGGCAGCACAGTTGTAGTTAGCACTGTCCCCTCACAGCAAGCAGGTACCTGATTTGAGTCCAAGTCGGGGGCTTTTTATTTTTTTAATTTTTTTTTATTTTTTAATTTAATTTTTTTTTTGTGTGTTTTCCCTGTATGTGTATAACTTTTCTCCAGGACCTCTGGCTCCATAAAACATTGTGAGAAAACCATGATAAGAACCATTCTGAGGCACAGTCTTTTATTTGAACTGATTTAATCAACAGGGATTTAAGTCAAACAATATGGACAGTAGAGATCTCATAGGTAAAGCACTTATAGCTACTGATTTAATCTTTATTTATTTATAGCAATTTTTTCTATCTAATCTAGTATTTCAACTAATTGAAAACCCTTTGTCTGCCCACATTCTCTTGTGGATGAGTATGTGTCCTCTTCATGGCCCTCTGCACGCCCAGGCCCTCCTCTCTCAGATCGGAGTGCAGCCTTACCTTCAGGTGTCTGTCTTTCCCATGTCTGTGCAGTCTCTGCTATACCTCGGCCTACTTTACATCATGCAATACCACCTGTGTCAGCTCCTGCCTTTTCACTTTCATAGGACTTCTTCTCACATTTGAATTTTTTGTTTCAGCTTCTTGTTAAGTTTCTTCAGCATCTTCTTGCACAATCTTGCAGCAGATTGTTGGTTTGTTTTACTCCTGCATCCATCCACAGTGCAGTAACTACAATCGACAGCTATGTAGTAGAAAGATCTGGAGAGCATTATGTCAGGGACTGCATGACACGCTCATGTGGTTGAATCTGTAACCATAGTTACACACATTTTGCAGGCCTCTTGTGCATCAAGTCCACCACCAGGTGGCAACAAAAGCTGGGAGTTTTTCTCAGATAGCCATTTTTACTTCTGGAAGGATGGATGAGTACACAAACAAACCAACCATCCATCCATCCATCCATCCATCCATCCAACATAGCTACTTATTCCTGGATGATTCTCCATGGGGGCGCTGGAGCCTATCCCAGCCGACAATGGCCGAGATCCTGTCCATTACAGGCCACACAGAGACAAACAGACTCAGACACTCACATTTACTCCTTTGGGCGATTTAGTGTCCATTAACCTAACATGCATGGTTTTTAGCCCCCCCCCCCCCCCAGAAAAGCTGAATTGCTTGATGTTATTTAACTTTTGGTTCAAAGAAATTAAACATTTAAAAATGTAATTTATCTGAAGGTAAGCTGGGGATTTGTCGCTCTCATATAATAAAAATTGGACTGTTTTGAAGCAGCATATTTTCCCCTCTTCTTGTGACCAGCAAAATTATGCCAAGATGAGCAATTGCTTTCAGAGATAACCTGTTTTATGCAATGTCCTATGTTGTGATAATGTACATTCACGTACTTTCAGAGATGCCTATATTTATTAAAGGTCATCTTTATGTTCTCCCTCACTGGGGGGGTGGAAGTTGTGATCCCCCCGGATGGTTAGCGCTGTGAGTCCCCGCCGGGCAGAGTTTGCTCACGCTGCCCCACAGCAGATTGGCAGACAGCTGGAAGGATTCTGGAGGCTACCTCCTCAGCTGGAAGGTCCAGATCCCCCTGGTGTTCTGAGCTCTTCTGTACATTTATTCTCCTCAAGGTCAGGTCAGTGTACTTGTTATCAGGAAAAACATTAGCACCATCTGGAATTCTGACAAATACATCTTGCCGAACAGATTTTATCTGTGGGAGATGCTTGCTGATAGCTGATGAAACATTACATAGAGCTGATTGGAACAATGTTGATGTTTCCTAAAATAGTTAACAGACAAGAAAATCCAGTCGTTTGTAATTCTATGCCAAGTCCTATTGGTCCCATTGTTACACAGCAGATTTTCAGCCATGCATTAGAATATCTCTCTAAACCTAATGTCACAAATAACTGAGAATAAAGCTTTGGTGACAAAAATCATTGAAATTATGGATTTTGCATAATGACTCAAAATACATTTAGAAGCATTCCTTAAGAATACAGGATGTTGAAGTCTTTCAGCTTTCGAAAATATTTTTTCTTTCCTTAACATTCAAACGTTAAACCCTTAGGGTGAACAGAAAATACTATTATAACATATCGATTGATTGTGAAAGAAAAAGCGAAATTTGAAATGCTCTTCATGGACTGGAAACAGTAAGATAGCTCCAGTGTAATGTGCAGACCCAGCACTCGATTATATTACTGGGAGAGTTTGTGGCATATCGACACACATGTGTTTAGTATGGATATGAAATCTCTTTACCCATAATGTATATCAGAACACAGACCAAGCATATATTGCAAAGAAGCTTTATTGCCATTGACAGATGGATTTTTCCCCACGATTCCTCATTGTATTACGATCTTGAGTTAAACAGACCAACACTGGTTTTAAAAGTACCACAGCTGTTAATAGTTACAGTAAACCAGGTCGACAGAGACGAGTTTCACCTCAACACAGTAGGCATCAATGCCCAGTGAGCAAAAACCACACATCTATCCATGACTTGGGTACTTCTGCACATTCTTCCATTGGAGAACAAAGTCATGGCATATTTCCTATTAAACAGAACAACACATCCATAGAGCCTCAGGCATGGCTTCTACAAGGACACACTCACGGGTACAATTGCACTTTCTACAACTTAGAAAATAATTGCACAGAGAACTTGCGGAACAATTTATATTCTAGAGTAACAAAAAATTCTTGGATGACTGTATTGATTTCTTTTTACAATTAATTTGGTTGCTTTTTAGCTGTTTCGCCATTTAGGGAAATATAAAAAAAGGCATGGCGTTCACACAAACCACTGAACGACAGCAAGTGATAGTTATTTGAGAGTAAAAAGAAAAAAAAGCCTGTTTTAAAACAATTAATTGTGTGGATGACTATAGCTTTCTGAATGCGTTCACTGGAAGATCAGATTTTCATCTTATTACATTGCTGAATTGAAAGAAAGAAAACAGGTATTGCACTTTCATTGCAATTTCTTTCAGGAATGGCAGTCAAATGAGCACAGCAGAAGGAAACGAGTCCACACAAAACCGTAGAGCACTCACACTGTTGTCATGGTAACACCTCTATATAGCTGATGTCCAGAGTGAGTGTTACAGCGTGTGGGGAGACTTTTTGTCTTGCGCTTTGTGGCAGATAAAACATTACACAAGATCATTTGATGATTAGAAATAATGTCTGCTTTCTCAGAACAGAAAAAAACAACAGCTTGAACGACGCCATCATTTCCAAGACAGGCTTTTTGAAAACATAATCATGATGTTGGACCACTACTTCCATGAAAATGCACAATATCTAAGTGCAGGATAAACAGTTCCCTCACTGGTATTTACACTAAAGGTTACTGAAGTGCAAAGACTTTTCAGAAAATAAATAACATCCTCTTTGGTTGAAAAATTATATAAACATATCTATGTTATGTGTAGACACCTGCACATCCTTCTAGATAAAATCTTTAGTAAAATCCTTTATTTGAACTTTTATTATACTGCCCTCTACCTATATTAAATCACTCTCTATTTGCTTTTCCACAGGGATACGGTGACATTATTATAGATGGGGAGATTAAATCTAAAAAAGGCAAAATACTGTATGTATTGTATATGTCTGCACTTATAATATCAATCTCTTATTACACATTCACAATGCATGAATCACAGCGAACACAGCTTTGATAAAAACAGCAAAAAAACATTTCACTTGATCAGACGCTTAGAACTGATTTGCACCTGCCTTTGAATCAATCATGCAAAACCAAAAAATAAATATCTATTACTACAAGTATGAAAATAATCACCACCACAGCCACACGCACACCCACTTATCGACTACATGTTAAGATATACACGAAGTTCAAACTGCATGGTTGGCCACAGTTCGAACAATATCCAGGGGTACATGTCGAAATAAAAGATTAAAAAGACAGGGTGTTGGTGGGTAAATTAAAGATTCATAGCCGGGTCAAACAGATAGCACAGAGCAGCACTGAACTTAGCATAGGCACAATTTTTTTTTACACATCATCAACGACAGCCCCAAAGAAAAACCACAGCGACCGAAACACAGGTGACCAATACAAGCACACAAATCAACAGGTCAACGGTTGACAGTACATTTTGACACTGCATAGAGTTAAAAACACAGTCCAGGCCAGCTCACAGCTGTGCTGAGCTCACGCCACCAACCTGTTCCCAGCTCTCAGCCTCCACAAACACTTCAGCACTTGTGTTCAGCTATGCATTGATATCTAGACTCCCAGACTACACCTCTCTTGGGTCATTCAGTTGGCCTGGACTGGTTTTGGACCCACTGCGACGCCATTACAGTCGAGGATGTACTGCAGACAACCTTGAGGTGGGCGTCCAGCACCGTTCTTGCCGGGCTCACCAATCATCTCTCCCTTCTGCCCGGCTCCCTAAAAGACAAAAATAATATAATTAACTGTATTGTCTTTTTTCCCCCTGGAAATCATAACTGATTTATTACAAGTTATATATTACAGTGACAGAACAAAACTAAGAGCTTTATGGTGTTAAACCCTGTGCCAGTGTGTTCCCTTACCTGGGATGGTTGTATAGTGGTGGGTCTCTGGGGAGTGTTAGCTTCCTTCTCAACTGCCTGGTTCATTTTGGCCAAGACCAAGTCAGTGATGAGCTGCCGGTCTTCAGCCTGGTGTTCCCCCACAAGAGGCATGGAAGAGCCCACAACCTGTTCCAAATGGAAGGAATTTATAGCAGACGGAAATTTGTTTGTCTCAAAGAAATTTTTTTATAACTGTTCAGTTGTATCTTTGTATTCGAGGCTCCTACCTCTGTGATATAATCTCTGCCATCTTTCCCATGGATAGCTTTGATTGCACAAATCTCCAGACCCCCAAAAATCTCTGAGCAGGTGTCCACCCACAGCTTGTATCTTAACAAGATAATTCAGACATGGCTCCAAGTCAGTGACAGGATAATGTCCATGGTCTAATTGCCATTTGTCTTCATTTCAGGGGAACACAGGGTTAGAGGCATATAATACACATCCAAATGAAGCATTGTCTGCATGGTGGACTAAAGGATTTAACACTTACCTGTCAGTCATGGCCACCTGTTCCAGCATGGCTGAGCCTGTGTTGGTTTTCCAGTTACCAGATATGGATGTTCTCCTGATTTGTGTGAAATACATGTTTGAAAAAGGTTCATCTTTGTTTGTTGACTTCTTATAATGTTGTAATGTCAGCAGCAAATGTGTGACTATACATACATGTATGCTTTGTAGTCGGTGCCAATCTTCTGAATTCTGATGTCGTACTTGGAGTCGATTAGAGGCTCTGTGGTGGTGTAGGTCTGCGTGAGAGCCACGACACTGGCTATGTCCTGGAACTTACTATGATTGTCCACCTTCACCTGTGTGCAAAAGGCATGCATGTTGAACAGAAAGCAAACAATGACCAAGACAAGCTTCATCCAATTATAGCAGGAACTAACATGATGGCGGAAAGTCAAGATGTAGAACTGTTTTATTCAATGTACTGCACCTCTGCTGATAACCATGCCACGGAAAAATGGAATTATGCAGGTTTTCTATTCACTTCAATAAGGAGCATCTCTCTACCTTTCCAATACCAGAGTGGGCATGTCCAATCTTCACAACAACAGGAAATGATGGCATGCTCACCTAGAAAACAAGATAAAATGAGTGTGATATCATGTCTCTGCTTTTCATTAAACTATTATAAATTAGGAAAGGGGGGGGGGTTCTCACCATCTCCTTATAGTTTGGGTAAAAGGTCTGCTCAATGAGAGGAAACTTCTCAGCACCCAACTTCCTGCAGGTGTTGATAAGCTGAGCAAACTGCATGTAAAAAAAGGGGGAAAAGGGAAGCAGAATCCATGTCATGCAGAAACTTATTTATAATATGTTCTATATAATGTTTGTCCAGCATTCTCTGTTGGCCCTGGTTTGTGAGTGCATACCGCCCATGGCTTGTCACACAGGTTGTAGATGGACTCGAGGGAGTTGATGCTTGGGACACCACCGTACTGCAGACCGATGATCATGTTCCGAAAGTCCTCATTCTGGGTCATACTGAAGGCATGCTGACGAATGAGGACAAAGTCTGGCTTGAAGGACCTAGAAAGCAAAAATATAGGTGAGCTGACAAAAGGACGGACCGAAAAGATCACGTGTGAGTGAGTTGGATAAAGCTAAAATAAAACAGCAAAGCAGTGCCTTTTGCAGGTAAATTATTATTTTCTAATCACATGTCTTGTCTGTGTGTGTCTCACCTGACAACCTTGGTACCATTTCTAAGAACCTGCATGTTAACGAGGCAGTTTCCATTGGCATGAGCCACCACGTTGATCTCACTGAATTCAGCCTGAGGAGTTGGAGTTAAAGTTACGCAAGGATAAATTATACAAGCATATAATTTTTGTCATCATAAGTACTTGTAATGGATAAACTGGCTTTGTGAAACTTACCTGTTCCACTTTGATATCATAATCCCCAAGTAATTTCTTTCCTCTGAATAATTTTGCCCTGGGTAAGAAAGAAATTCATATTATCCTTTGTTTTACTTAATAATACTGCGTTTTCAACAAGTGGAAATATGAAAATCTGTTGAATAAATGCCACTTTTTAGAGTGAGCAATAATAGGGATATAAATACCTCCTTTCATGTTTAGTCGGTTACTAAAACAAGCAAAATCTAACAGCGATTCCCTTCAAATTTGAACTTGTAAAGCAGTAAAAACAACACAACACCTTCTAACCTTTGCACACCCTACACACAAATGGCATTGAGCATTTCTATGTAGTCCAATAGTCTGTCAACAGTCCTGCCTTGTTGGTCCTGAAAGACAATGCTGTTATGCAGCATTCCTCTTGAGATTCAAGCTTTCTTAAAAAGACCAAACTTTTTGCGTGTTGTAGTTCTGCACAAAAAAAAACGGTCTGGTCTTTTCATGCCCGATATCAGACTGGCACTGTTGCATTTCACTTCAGTTTTATCACACGCTGACATGCAGGGAGAGGAGATGCTAACCCCTACTGGGTTATCCGTACTGGATAACACACACCAATAGCTGAAAAACAGCCTCTCCGGTTTCTTTTTTCATGCTGTCATGGAGTAGGTTTCATTTTTGTCTGTTTCACTCATAAACAATTAACAGCTACAGCACTGCAACTGTGGCACATTTAACCCAAATCAACATGTTTTGGAGTTCTTGCTTTCTCTTCCTCCCAGTTGATGTCCTCTGTTGTCACATTCACTGCTTATTTAATGCTGAATAAATTATTCACAACCCCATTAAAATACAGGGAGCGAGGGGGGGGAGATAACAACACGAAATGCAAATGACTTTGTTTGCTTTTTGGAAAGTAAAAACTTTTCTATCATCAGAACACAGGTAATGAGACAGGAGCCTCAGACAGAAATGAGGAATGCAAATGACAAGCGTCTGGCTTCATTTAGCGCACTTTAATATGAATTTATGTAATCGTGAGTCTGCTGTAAGAGAAGGAAAGCATTAGGTAAATTATCAATGCTTTACCAGTCTGCCGAGCTGAGCTGAGCTTCAAGGCACAGAACTCACACATCTTTCAGTGCAGTGTATTAATATGCATCGGTCACCTCTCAGCAACAGGGTCCTGTGGCTCAAAGCCTAATTAATTAAGCTTTCATCTAAAAACCAAAGGCATTTTATATTATATATCATCTTTACTTGTGCTTTTTTGTCTCATGGATTTAAAGCTGAGTCAGTCCCAGAGCACTGTAACAATGCCAGCTCACTTTGGATGAGGGAGGGGAATGATAATGCATGTTATGGGTGTCGTCCATTAGTAAGAATCAAAAGTCTTCCCTGGAATCAAAGATTAGATTAAAAATCACATTGCCTTTTTGTTTCCGTTTCTTATGCGATTTAAAAAGCAAATACAAATTAATGGTTGCAGAAAGTACAGCATACACATGACTGTGAAAAGGTTTTCATTCAGATGAATCACCCGCCAGCTTGGCAAGCGGGAAATCCTGTTGAATATTAATGTCTAATTACTTTGCCTGCACAGCACACAATCTCAAATGTAGGCAATGTTGGCACAAGATCAAGTTCAAAATCGAAAGAATGGCTCTTCCGATGTAAGATAAAACAATACAAATTGTAAATATCTTCACCATAAATAGATCAGAGGAATCTTGATCTGTGTCTCCTTTAAATGAAAATGTCTTATACATTTAAGAAGGCAATGCATCTCATCCATTGCTCTGAAAGGGACAAGGTGTACCATCTGCTCCACTTGTAGGAGCAACTTACACCACAGCATTCCTAGAACTAGGCAAACCTGTCTGGATGACAGGCAGCTTGATCCGGTGATTAGAAAAAGCCTGGATGAGTGCATGTCTGTGCTGAGTTGGCCAAACTGATTTGATCTTTTAAGGTAAAAGTTGTTACACGACAGAGTGACTTTTCCAACACACCCATGTTTCTGTTACTTTTTCCTTTGACTAAAAATATGACAACAAAGTATTCAAACTGTTTGGAAACGACTTATTACTATTAAAGCATAAACATCATGATGTTGGGACATAAATCTAGAGCAATCCCTCATTAACTGGGAAGGAAAACCATGGTGTTTTTCTGTTTTATTCTGTTTCCTTTCTGTAACTATTCTCTTTCCTTTAAAGTCCTCTGCTGGATACATCCAGTTTTAAAAACTGCCCTTTATTTTTTTTTTCTGTGAGGCCACCAGGCGTCATTTGTCTGTCTCTCTATCTGCAGACAGAAAGATGGCTGAACATTGCCTGTCGCAGTTAGTGCGAACATGAGAGAGAATTTTGAGGACTTGCCAGAATTTGTGTGAAAATAAAAAGATATTCAATCTTTCTGTGGTTTACCCAGAGCCATAGACATCAGCATGCCTTTAGTTCTCCAAAGAGAGCATTAAACACAAAGCACAGATTGTTTTCAACACACCTTTACCAACATTATGTATACATCATTTCCCTTTTCTGCTCTAAAAATAGTAGCATTCCATTCTATAACATGACATTAGCTTCACAAAGTGAACAGATTGACAAGATGCTGTTATGAAGATGTTTTTTTCTTTTTCTGCCAGAGGGTCTTACAACAAGTGGGTAAAATGTCCTCTAAAAACAACCAAAGCAGTCTAATTTTGACAAACATTTACAACCACTTGCTTGATGAAATGGAGCTGCCATGAAAAATAAATGCAACACTCAGAGGGAGGAACCCCTTTTGAATGAACTGTTTTAGCACATCTCCCTGGGGACTCTGCACTACATAAACAAAAGGACAGATAACAGAGGTGCTGTACACTTAGTATTAAAGTGAATAATATTAATTTGCACTTGTCTTCCAAACACACACTCTGCTGTGATTGTGCAATGGTTTCTACAAGGTACACATGACAAATCAACTATGATTATTGTGTAACATATGGTATTTGTGTACATTGTTAAATTGGACAATTCTTTTATTTCTTATATAATCGACTTTTGTGCAGTTTTTCAGATTTTAAAGTTCCTGCCTATTTATCACTTGTGATATTGTCAAATGTTTATAGATGTTGGTGCATACTTATTTCTCAGACATGTGCCTCAAGTACAAAGATGGAAAACCTCTGACCATCTGCCTGCCTGGTAAATGCATCAGGAAATATAACCAAAGTGTAAATAAATGCTTGTCGTGAGGAAACTGAATTACCTCATCCAACCATTTTAAAATATATGATGCTCAACATGAACACTCGTTTGGGTGATGTGTGCACTCATTTGCAACCACGGCGAACTGACAGAGATGCTTCTTTTAAGCTACCTCGGAGAAAAATCCCCAAGGACAGAGAATGCTATTATACTGGCTTAAAGCCTTCAAACCCTCTCCTGACACTAATGGCACGGTTGTCCTTTTCTCCCAGCTGGCTGACAAATATTGGCATGCATGTGGTGTTCTATCTGTCTCTGTCGGTATTTTTTTTTCCCCCGCTAATGAAGCTCAGTGCACCATGAGTTGCGTCTACCTAAACCATTTCCCCCATGTTTGTGCAACACTTGTCATGTGATCTGCTATCAGTGAGCGAGGGGGAAACCCCATTGATGAGGGGAAAGCACTGCAGTACTGAGACTGACTCCCCAGATATAACACACCGTCCCCAGTCTCACACAACCTGTGGCACAGCAGCAGTTTTGGTTTTTAGTAATTGCAAAATGTCACATTACAGTTTAATAAAAATCCCTATTTAAGTGACTGTCTTCATTCAATTCCCGACTATTATGTTGAGTTAAATAAAAAGCAGCAAATACAATGAAAAGAGCTGAGGAAAATAAGAACCTTCCATTTTGGTTCCGTAGACTGATAAAGATGCCAGTACTGTAGATCAATAGATTGCATTTCCTTACATGTTGGCAGCCACTAAAGAATCATGTTGTACTTATCATAGAGATGCTGTTACGGTCCAAATGTTACCATTACTTGAACTGCCTGTATTCAGTAGAGCAATGATGAAAAATTATGTTAACAATGGAGCAGACAATGCTGAGAATAAACTATTCACAGAGAACTGGGAGACTGAGCAACATGTTATCTTACCACTCCTGCTGTGGTTCGTCAATAACAAGGAGAATCTTAAACTTCTTTGGTGTCGTGACTTGGGTCTGCTCCACGAGCCCTGCTGAGGCAGCGGTCTGCTTCACAGCGTTTGTGATGGAGCTGAAGAAGCCTGCTCCGGTGGTCTGCGCCGGCTGAGGTTTCCTCTCTGGAGCGGGGGACGTGGCCGGTGGCGTGGGCCCGGCTGGGGGCACGGCTGTGGGGGACTTTGCCGGGGCGGAGGAAGCAGGCGGGGGAGGCTGCGCGGGGTCAGGCCTCTGGAGGTCCGTCATGTAGCCATTGGGCAGGTTGGAGATGAAGGTGCTGTCGGAGAGACGGCGACGCAAATAATTCATGGCAGCAGAGGAGTCGACGAGCGCTGGGGGGGGGGAGAACTGTTCTGCAGAGGGTTCCTGGTACTGAGTGTGCGGTCAAGGTCTCAGAGCAAACTCCTACCGAATGTGCTTCCTCCCAGATCTGCGGAGCATCCTTGAAGCTCTCCCTCACAGTCAGTGATGTCACAGGCTCACACAGCCAATCCCCTCAGCCGGTGCTCTCCTCCAGCACAGCAGACGATGCTCCGCTGTGCCTCTCCTTCCCTCTACCCTCGCTTCCTGTCCTCTCTCTCTTTCTCCCTCTCTCTAAATGGCATGCCTGACTCTCCTACCCCTCCCCCATTTTCTATTGCCTCAGAGGTGTCATCCTTTTTTGAACAGTATAGAAAAAAGAGGGGTTTCCAGTGGAAGTGTAAAAGGGTACACTGAGTACTACGTCCCAGTTTTTTTATGTCTGCTCCCCGTGTTCTGTGGGGCTCGCTGCTCTTTGTCTGTGCCCAGCATTTCTGTGTTTCAAACCCAGCCGTGTCATCTAAAATGGCTGTGAGGGCTGGTGGGCAGGACTGAATGAGAGGAAGCATCGGCTGCTGTCCCCTGTGACACAAGGACACGCAGATATCAAACCCTTTCACTACTCATCTCATTCAAATGACATTTTCACATGCACGTCGACCTTTGCATTCATAAAACGTTGATGCTTTTTTGCAAGAAACACAGAGATAAATGTGAACTATCCCCCTCGTAGATAATGGATGGATAGTTTGACCAGGGTCAGAAAACAGATCAATGAATCAATAACTCATGGTGCTCATAGATCAACATAAATCTACAAACGGAAGCCCCCCAGTTTATTACGACTAATAGATGCAAGGACAAGCACTCATGTAAAAAGCCAACCCAGGATTTATACACGTTTTCAAAACATTAAATCAATACCAAAATAGGGGTGATATTTCTACTTGACAGGTTTCACCTTACTTTTAAAATCTGAGGCTCATATAAATAAATAGCTGGGCGAGGTGCTGTCAGCACATAAAACGACAATGCTATATTTTTAAGATTTCTTATTCACACGTAATATGCCAAATTTCGAGATGGAGCTGATATATATGTCTATTTTTTTGTTTGTTTTGTTTAATATCAGTGGTGGGTATAGCTGCTCTGAGATAAACTCTGTCTGGTCCACAACGTGTAATCCGCAGATGGAGGCTCATCTCCGCCAGAAGACCCCGAAACTAAAACACAGCTGAATGTTTGCAATTTACAAGGAGACTGTTCTCACCCGTGGGCATGAGAAATGTGCATTGGGTCTGAGAGAAGCGGTCCGGGTCGCGTCCCGTTGGTGTGAGGGCGACACCTGCTGGCTGTTCCGGCGTAGTGCACCGTCACAAAACATCCGCTTTCCTCAGGTCTCAGCTCCAGCTTATGCTCATGTACAAAAACACCAGTCAGCCATTAAAAATTTTAATATAATAAACTTTACAAGCCTGTGTGGCTGAGTGATTGCTCACAAAACAAATGATCTTCTCTCTGTAGCGGAACTAACATCAAACTTTAGACTAGACTAGAGGGATCCATTCAACTACATTGCCATTTTGTATTTCACTTTTTTCTTACAAATATAACCGATTGCCTACAATGGTAGGTGGTTAAATATATTTATAGAAATACGTCATGTACCTGTTGGTAGATGTGATTTGTTGCTGCGCTGTTATGTGTTGGGAGTATTCAGCACCTCGTCTGTCCACTGGGGTTGCTCTGCCCTCTTTTGTTTGATGGAAAAGTGCGTGAAGCAGAGTAAAGTCAGACAAGCTGGAGTAGCCATGGTGTTGTTGGTGTAACACCAATAGTATCATCTAAGTAAGTAAACGCAGCTTTATACGTTTCCATTTTTTGTCAAGATGTTGGTTGGGATAGGAACACCAAATATAACCCCAACCGAATGATGTCATCAGTGTGTAGTGCAGTATTTTTTATTACGCTAGTTGAATCGGGAATAGTTGAGCTAGCTTACTACGAAGTTAGCGACTTGGCTAACGTTGGTTGGTCATGGAGAGCTAAAACTAGACTAATGTAAGACTACAGTAAATGTGCAACGATGTTGTTGTTATGTGTAACTTTGCTGGTAGTTTTTTTTTATAACTTTAAGATATACTCCACGTAAAACTCGTCACAGTTAGCAGTTAGCCCAAAGAAGCAGCAGCGCCGCTAGCAGCGATGCTATCCTTTTGGTGTCGTAGCAATCGTTAACGTCACTGTCAGGACTTTCAACATGAAGCAACTAATCGTTGACTTTGAGAGATCATTACTAGCGATTTATGTTTCCGACAAAATACAGTTAGACTCTATATTAATAGCATTTTCTCCTCTTTCGTAGGATAGATTACTGACAGTTGTCTTCGGTGGTAAAGTCCGCTAACATCAATGTTAGCAAGTAGCCTGCTCGGCTAAATGCTATGCTCTAGAATGGACCTGTTGAACTCTCAGTTCCTGGACAAGATGAACAATAACATTGGGAGACTGCACTACGACGGTGAGTTTTCTGTGGCATTTGTGTTGTCATACGCTTTTAGATATTGTTCGGAAAGCATATTTTTTCACCAAATGTGTTGCGATGTCCTGTAATAACACGATTTACCAGTGTTTGTTTAACGTTGCTCTGCCAAAAACTGATTTCTGATCCAGATGATGAGATTCAGATTCTGTACACGTCTCTAAACACCTGTATCCCATCTACTCCACCAAATAAAAAAAGGCAGATGTATAGAATAATTTAAGATAAGAATGGCCTTTTTAAAAATGAACATATTATAGATGCACTTTTATATGCTTAATTCTTATCACTTTGTTTAAAGAAGTAATCTAGAAGACGCTAAACACATTTGTGCCAAAGGAAGTCTTCATAAAAGTTGTATGAAAATGTTCATATTAGTTGCTCCATTATTGTCAACTTGCCCTCTTTGCTTAAAGATGCATTCAGAAATCAATTACCCCTGAGAAGTTTAAACAAAGTCCCGCTGCTTCTGTAATGTCAATTGTCTTATCTGGAAGTTAAGGGTTCGTTTCTCAGATATTTTTCATTGACACAAGCTTTACTGAATTTCATTGGACTTCTACGTTTTACAGGAAATTTGTCTGCAAACACACAATGTTAACTAATATAATAATGAATGTTTTGGGTACAGTTGCTCAGAACTTGTTACAATTCTAACACAGTAAAGTCTTACAGTTACTATAATGGATGGCGGATACATGAATCACAGCAGTGTGTGGTGGCTACAGTAAAGTCCCGTGCCCGTAATTGCTTTTGATAGGAAATGTGAAGTTATTTTTATGGCTGATACATTTCTTGTAGATGAGTCCAGACTTCCCTCCCTGTCTGCTGCCATGTCCACCATGAATGGGCCTCCACCGCACTGCCCGAGCAAACGAAAGTATGGCGAAGAACAAATGGAAGATCGAATCAACTGTGATGATGACCACATGACCAAAATGAGCCGACTGTTTGCTACTCAGCTGTAAGTGGAGTTTCCGATGCAGACGTTTCTGCCCTGGGAAGTCATCGCACTTGTAATCTGTGTGTTAAACTCACTGTGAATGTATTCAATCATCATCATTTTGTCAGTGCTGACCTGCTGTTGCATAGACTTTCCTCGTTTGCGTGGCATGCCGCTGCAGACCGTCTCCTAGAGAAACCCGTTATTCCCATTTTTAGCAAGCATTTAAAATGACCTTTTATTCAACTTTGCTGCTCTTTTCGATTTCCCATTTAGTGTTTCAGTCATCAAAACTTCATTTTGCATCAGCATAACTTTTTTTTCCTCTTTCAGCATGGCTATGTCAGCATAGCCTAAAGCAAATGATACTAGTAATTAATGAATAGGTAGTTTGCTTTCTCGTACCTTCAGCAACCAGGATTGTTCCACAGAAAATTTCCCACTTTGCGCTGTTATGTGTTCACAGCATTTGCTCTGTGGCGTCTGTCTGACTTGTGTTCTGGTTTTTCAAGGGCCCGTCCCTCAGCAGGAGACAACCGTAATGAGCACTGGAGCCACAGTCCCATGGATCATATTACTTCCTCGCCTAACGGTATCCACGGCAACCACCTGTACACACCCCTGTCTGGCTACGATGCAAATCAGCCTCTGCCTCTGACCAAAAGCAGCCATGACATCGGAGTCTGCAATCCAGCGAGGTCGGTGATAAGTGGCGCCGTGGAACGGCAGCAGGTACGACGCGTCCAGTAGCTGTAGAGTCCCGGTCAGCCCCTCCCAGCTCAGGGTGGCTCCACTTATCAGTTAACCAATCAATGCTTTTCACCTTCTCCACTGCTTTTTAGGAGCACAAGTTGAATTACACATCATTTTGAATACAGCTTGTGAAACAGCAGGCGCTTCTATGTCTCAAAGATTGCTGCGTCAACAATTTTTATTATTATTACAGAATCGTCCCTCTGTTATAACGTGCGCCCCTGCCAGCAACCGCAACTGTAACCTGTCGCACTGCCATATGAGCGGCTGTACTTCCAGCCCCCCACCTGATCAGAGAGAGACCAATGGTAAGCTGTCAGATTGTTTACAATGGTATACGGAGGTAAACAAACCAGCAGGAAGAGCTAATCAGGTGAACTGAGTAATGGAGGTCATCTGAGTATAGTGACACCTGCTTAGCAATGATTAAGTGTGTAGCCAGCAGTTCCTTTTTGTTTGAGGTGTTAAGTTTCTTTAATTTGATATGTGTGATCAGTCAATGCTTTCCTGAGATGTTAAAAGGGAAAAAAAAATCAAAGTTGAAGTGCTACTGGTTCAGCCAGTAATTTTCAGTCAGATTTTTTTCTATATGCTTCTCTTCTCTGAGACTTTTTTTTGGAGAACAGTGTCCAGAAGGGTAATGCTGGATTGTCTTTGTGAAAGCTAGCCTTGTGAAATCCTGAGGCTAAATCCTGATGAAATGTCCCTTTTCCCACGTCTAACAAGGCTGGACCTTTTCTGGAATTCTTAATTCCATGAAATGTACCGGGCAAACAAACCTGCCTGGCCTTGTCTGACTGAATATGCTCTGAATTTCTGCTCTGCTCCCTCCCCGCCGTGCAGCCAATGCGGTCTGCGACCCTGTGATTGAGGAGCACTTCCGTCGCAGCCTGGGGAAGAACTACAAAGAGGCAGAGGCGGTGTCCGACTCAGTGTCCATCACAGGCTCTGTGGACGACCATTTCGCCAAGGCACTGGGAGAAGCCTGGCTGCAGATCAAAGCCAGGGGGGGCGGCCAGCAAACTCCAGATGCTGACCCATGAGTCAGGAGACGGCAAACGTTCTAATCGCTTTCTCAGTGTGTATGTGTGTGTGTGTGTGTGTGAGTGGAGAGTGTCCACTCTCATCTCTTGCCAAGAATCAACTTCCCTTAGCCAAGAACACAGTAAGACACGTGGTGCTCACACAGGTGGTCCCTTTGTGACCACACTTTACATTTGTAATTTGAATTTCACGCAGCTCTTTGATGGATGGGAACTTGGAATGTTTGTTAGGAAAAACTGTACAATCATAGATTTTCATTTTGGAATGACACCGTTTCCAAAAGGTTCAGCTTGAGCTCTTCTCTTTCTCCCTCATGCCCCGAGAGCCAAAGACATCTCCTGCCTTTTCTACCAACACGTATGCCTCGGATTCAGTTGTCTTTTCCCCTCTGAACTCACACTGCTTTTTGACACTATTACTTGAAAAGGACAGCCGGGTCTCATTTGCACTGTTACGTTCCTGAGCATCCAGGTAACGGGTTACCTTTGCCAGCAGGAACTAGTGTGTTCTAAAGAAAAAAGAGAACGTTTTTGTGTGTTGAGATTGTGATGAGACAAGAGAAGCTCTGGTCCCTCTGCCTTCTGAAGACACTAAAACCGTCATCTTAATGGTGGGGAACTGGACGTATTCACTGTTAAGTAACCCTAGTTTGCCATCTTTCCACCACTGTGGCTGATTTCTTAGTACACTAATACCAATCATAGACGATATCTCCTCCTAGAAAGCATGTGTCAGATAGCTGGTTTCTATTACAAACCTTATTCTATACTATGTATTTACTCAGAATTTATTTTTATCTGTAACATTTTAGAAATACTCACTGCTGGTACAGTTGTACTCAATATATTTTTTTGTATCTGGTTTTCAGTACTATATGTAGGTGCATATCTTAGCATCCATCTACGATCACAGCCTCTGGCCAGGTTGTCTTGAATGCAGTGAAACCGGCCGAGTTCCATTTGTTACTCGGCTGAGCTGGATGCTTTAGCTTTACTCATAACTGAACACGGCTAACTCTCACCATCTGTAGCAGGGGGGTTTAGTAGCAGTGGCTTTTATTTATTCTCAACGTTTTGATCGTTCCATGTAAGCTTTTGGTGAAGCGCAATGAAGCCAGAAGTCTTAACCTTGATGTGATTTGATCCACCGTGCTTCATCGACAAAGACGTCAATTTGACTTCCAAAAAAACAAAGCAGGGGGTAGTCTCTACTGTTCAGCATTCCTCTGCTGCTTCCTGACTGTTAGGGGTCACTTCAGTCGTGTTGAGCGAGAACTGTTACAAGAATGTTTGTAATTTTATTTAGATCGAGATGATGGCGCGAAGCTCCCTGATAATGGAGAGTTGGCTTAACTGAGTAACAATTGTTTATATTATTATTATTATGCAGTTGAGTTTGTTTAAATCTTCCCTCTTTAGGATTTAGTAGCGTTGCCTATCTGCCGACACAGATTGACATATGATATTGTAGCGGTTTCGTCGATTAACTGTTTTTGCATAAAGGCTCACATTTGTATTAATAAGTCGTTACACTATCCCGTCTTTTTCTCATTGGATTTGACACATCTAAGACTATCATTGCGCCGTGCGGAATGATTTTTTTGTTTTTTTGTCCCTGTTCACAGCAGTGTTCTCCTGTTGAGTGGAACCATGAACCTATGGTTCTTTTTCATTTCCCACAGGTGTCGAGTGATTGTCAAGTGCAGGAACACGAGTCCGTAGAGCAAACACTTTCTTTATGCTGTCAGGAAGGATTTCTGCAACAGTTTAAAGAATTCAAGCCTTCTGTGTTTACTATTCTTGAGATTTTCTTTTTTCTTTTTTCCATGGAATCTGCTTGTTTGACACAAGTAGTGTTGTCACTAATGTGTTTTGGGATATTAGGCCGTTGTTATTTAATTTGTATGTTTAGACTACCTGCATCTCAAAGACTGCATGAGGTTCTTGTTTCTTGTTGTCATAATAGAAAAACCGAACACTTGTCTACTTTTATTCCTGTCTCTCTGGAAGAAAATACCACTTTTTTGTACTTACATCTCTTCCAAATAAACTTATGATAACTACATTTATCTGTCATATCCTTCTTTTTTTTCTTTTTTCTGTTTTTCTAGTAAGTTCAACACTGCACAGCAGCTCCAATAATCCATATCCAGTGACCTAAGTACTAATAATTTCAGCTGGCTGGAACTGGCAAGGCTCTTGTCACTGGTGGTGAATTTACATCAGATGAATTGGGTCACCCTCTCAGATTTTAGGAGATACTAGATTAGAAGTAACATAGTCACCTATATCAACAGTAGAGTTTAGGGAACTGAGAGTACAGTCATGGACTATGCAAATGACAGCAACAGTTTGTTTTTAGAATAAACTGATGGAGGGTCCATGAAGCCGTAGTGATATTGTCTTCCAATCAGATCCACTGAGAAGTCCTGTGATTCACTGTTTCCAGTACATATAAAGCTCTTTGAGAAGAAGGTCTCATGATAACTTTATAGTTGATATCTTTCTATTTTCTGCTTAATGCCTGTGTGAGGAATAAACTCTGCAGCTCGGCTGGCAGAAGATTGTGTTTGTTTTGTGTCATGGTGACAAAATACTGGATAACCATAACCGCAGCTCGGAGGACCCATCACGACTAAAATGAGAAACGAGAGCTGTGTGACTATTGTCTGACGGGGGGAGTTGGTTTGGTTCTGACTTCGGTGTCGGAATCAACAAATTTTTAGCGTCCACTTTATCATGGCATGCAGTGAATATGGGAAACCGTGAAGGATTGCTTTGAATGGATCAGCTGAATTCTTTAACCAGCAGATGGCAGCATTGTACCACTCTACAAGCTCCCACTAATTACTCAGGAGATCACACAAAGCGTGTGATAATCCGGAAAAATATAGTATGGATGCTTCAGTCTTCCTACCATAGGTTTTAGTGATTTCCGCTTGTTATTTGAATGCCCGACAGCCCTCAAACACAGTCTGCTTTAATCTGGACTGGAGATGAGGAGATGCCCGCCCCCACCATTGCATCAGATGCCACACTTTTGCATTTAAGTGCACTTTTTTTTAAATGTAATGGTATATATTGAAAAAAATAAACCGGATTAAAACTTTGGGGCATTTAATGGAATAATAATAGAATCCTTAAAGGCTGACTGAAAACGGAAATGAGCATACCCTCACTTCAGCTGTGCCAGTTTGAATTTATGCACATCTTTCGTAGCACAAGTCTTTCAAAAAGAAAATAGCAGTCTTTTTGTTTGTTTGTTTGTTTATTGTGGTTTTTGTTGCTGTCACCCCTTGGGCTCAAATCTGCTCAAGAGCCCCTCCAACAGACCACTGCCTCCACAAGATTAGACCCAGCCATTCAGCAGCCACAATGCCCCTGCTGCTGCACCGTGCTTTTCCAAGGAAGCCCGCTCTTGTCGGATTACAGAGAGGATATCCACATTTTCCAGCTAGCACACAAAGCAGTTTCACATCCCTGCACGGATCAGAGGCATTCGCGCAAATATCAGGCCGAATTGGTGGTCGACTTGAAGCTAGCGTCTTAATCAAGATGACACTTCGGGGTTATGCCAGATTCGGCCTGGCCTCTTCAAAGTGTGAAGGCCACAAGGAGCATGGCATCTGTGCTCGCAACGGAGGACTGGTCTCCCAGTGGCTGCCTCCTGCGATTTCTTTAACTGTAAGGAGTCGGCGGCTTTCAGACATAGTCAAGACACACACATATGTCAAACATTGTGCTTTCCTCGCCCACGTAAAGGAAAAGAACCAATGGGAGCAGCTTAACACAGTGCACTCTGGCCACAGCAAGAAATAAAGATTAATCCAATTGGATGACTGCATTATTTAACCAAAGGCTAAATGGGCAAAGTGGCCCTTGTGGTGTCACACATGTTGGCTTGCATACTGTGCGCATGTTGGCCAGCACAAATGGCTGATAGAGATCTCATTCATTCGTTTGCATAATTCCAAATTTGTTGTGCCTGAATAGTATCCAAGGGCTGCATTCCCCTCTCTGCAGCATCCGTGGGTGCACAATCTGTGGGGAATTTGCATGATTGCCTGTAGATTATTTGAACATCATCTATCATCCCCATCCTCCTCTTCTTTTTTTCTTATTTCTGTGGCTCTCTGCTGTGAGGTTGCACACACATCCTTGGGCAAGAGAATCTAAAATAGATCATACGAGCAACTGGAGTAGATGCACAGGCACAGGAAGCTGCTCACGGGCAGACTTGAGTCATGCTGGCAAGATCATGCTCCCCGAGCTGACAGCCCAACACACCCGATTATGAAGCACGTCACTTCCAAAAATGCAGCTGCAGCCCTACTATAGGTCGTAAACAACGATCGAAATATTGAGCTACAACAGGCTTTCCATCTTAAATGACTTTTGAGCGTGGTTTGGATTGAATGCGGGATAGTTTGCGCTTTAAGGCCAACCTGATGAGTGTCTATGGCTCAGGCAATAGTGGCTCATTCAATGTGTCATGTAGACTGCTGGCAATGGCATAACCTTTGCAGAGGGAAGGGAAGACAACACGGTCACTCTGGATAACAGTCTTGCAATGAACAGAAACAGAACCTGTCAGGCCGTCTCAGCATCAGTTTTCAGCTGCATAGCACTACAAACAGTCCACCAATAGCCCTCCGCCTTCCCCTCACTCCTTCATTCCGTCAGTTAAGGCATCTCCTGCTTGATGAGGCCCTCGTGAGCAACACGCGTTCTGCCCACATTTGGCCGGATGCTTTTAACTCAGTTGTCCTTTACGTCGCGACATGCTGTCTCAGCTTTATTTTGCACTCGTTTTGTTGGACTCCTTTGGCCGCACCGTATGGTGCTTGACACAGCCAGTGATTTCCCACTGTTACAGTTGGCTTAAATTTCATGCTGTCATATATTATTGATCAGTTAATGATTGATTTAAAGGGCCATCTGCTGCAAACTACCATGGCTGCGCCATGACTCTGCTACAGTTTGGTGCTCCTATAAAGAAAAGGATATTAATTCCCAATTAGGCCACATGAACGATGGTCCAATAGCTCTACTTTTTTTTTAACAATCAGGAACCCGTCAAAGTCTTTGAAATTCACCGCCTAACAACAAGGAGGGAGGACGTATATTGGGATGGCGTGTTTTGGGCACTGGACAGCAGATAGATGTTTGAACCATTACTAAGAGGCTTTCTCATGGCTCATTATGAAGCTTGTTAGGGACCACGTTACAGCTGCTCGACTGGGCAGCCCTAATAAGGAAAGTGACCCAACACCAAAATGAGCAGCTACGTTTTACCTCTCACGGGCATGTGCTGATGTCTTCCGTTGCCTTATCTCCTCTAGCCTGTTTGCCCCCCCCCCCCCTTTGCCACAATGCCTCATCACCACCACTACCACTCCCCCCTGTGTGTTTGGCAGTCACACAGTTGGCCATGTGTGCACTGAAAACGTTACATAATGCCCTCCTTTCACTGCACTCCAGATCAAAGAGAACAAATCCAGCACAGAAAAATCGCTCCTTGCTGATTTTCCTTTTTCTTCCACCGTTCTGTTGTTTTATCAGACCTCGGCACCAAGAGACCATACAGTAGGCTACATCACGATCAGTTTCCACATTCCCCTTCATGTTGAAATTCAAACAGAGCAAATGGGAAAGGATCTGAGGTTCATTGAAGAAAAAGTCCAGATACGGCGTACTTTGTCACACACACACACACCGGAATTACAACAGGAAGAGATGGTGTTTTATTTAGAAAATGGAGAAAGAAAAGAAAAATGATTGCCTTCACAAAATGTCTTTTAATCTACAGTGTTTTCCGCAAGCACCCTTTTTCCCCAATGCCTTAAAAGATTAACGGGAAGAAAGCTGATGCAATTATGATGAAAAAAATATTTTTAAGGACCCCCCCCCCCCTCCCAACATCTTGCATCCTGCATTCTCTTCTGAAGTCGCTAAACATTCAGCTACCAATGCTCACTCACTTACAGGATGGCCACACAAAGACAAGCAAACCAGTTCTTTTTCATCCTAAAACAAAGGTCTCCATCAAGAGGAGGAAAAAACAGCCACACACAGAGAGAGAAAGAGCAAGAGAGCATCAAATGCAGTCAGCCAGACCGGGCCTGTCCACATCCTTGTGAGGATTGAAATAATGAGTGTGTGCTGTGGGAACATTTACCTCTAATGCCAAATATAGGCAGCATATTTAGGGACCAAAGGGTGCAGCTATTAAAAGTGTTGGTAAAAAAGATTTTAGAGAGCAGATGGAGAAAAAAAACACCACCTTCAGCTCTCTTGCAGCTGAGCTGTTACATTAGGTGCACACTGGCCATTTTGCATAGATTGTTCTTTTTGTCTGAACAAACTGCCCACAGTTCACCTCAGCCAGTGCAGAATCATTTGATTCCCTCCAGACAGCTGGAATCAGCAGCATTCCTTATCTCTGCTAAACTGAATAGTTCACTGGTTCGAAGGAACAGCTTGGTTATCTCTGATCCTCAGCCTGGGGGGGAATGAACGGGTGAATCAGGAATAAAGGCGTCGTTGGGAGCCGGCACATGCTTGCAGCAGGGCATTGCTGACCACGAGCTGCGCGGCTGAAGCATCAAATCATCTGTGGGGGAATGGGAGAGGGCAGGACTTCAGACTGGGTTTTGTGTTCAAACCGTTATCTCACCTGACAGTGTCTGGTTTGGGATCCAGTGCTGCACACGGCATACGTAAGCGGCTGGTCATCAGTTAGCCAGAGTGATGGGGTGTGACGTGTCACACGCCACATTAGGCTCTGCCAGGGGATGTGTTCAACAGACCACGGTAACTTCACTCCAGCACAATGCTCCGCTTCGGCTCATACTGACACTGGATAAGCTCTAATGTGCTATTCTGATATAGATAACTGACCTCAATTGAGGCTTCATCCTTGTTTTGAGAATTGTATGGATATTGTTAAAAATGTAAATCTTTTATTCTCTTAAAAGCGTTCTTAAATAAATAATCAGATCTGGGTTTGCATGTTAAATATGTTTTAGAATATTTGCCAAAAACAATGTTAAACTCTGTAATTTA